ATTAACTTGAAGTTTTAATTCGATGTAGAAGTTTGACTTGCCCACATTAATCAAAGAAAATTAATTATGAAATTTCAGTCATTAAAATCTTACATTTGTGAATAGATTGTTTTAATGTATAGAAAAAACATTGTGATCACATATGATTCGACATTAAAAATTCAACTCAAAATCTGTGATATTTGGAAATAATTTATATTATTATTTTTATTTGTGAATTTTTGTATTAAGGTGAAAACATGTGTTATTGACGCCGTTTTGATATTAAAATGATAACAAGAATATGTACTCTGTGAGCTGTAGCCAAGTAATTTCAAAATATAATAAAGATTTTCATTTATTTTTTATAATTTGGAAATAAACATCATATCATGCTTGTAATATCATCGAAATCTTTGTTAGCAATACCAAAATATTTCAACATATTTTATTTTTTTCAAAATACATGATATCTAGAAACATTTGTTCTTTCTTTGTATTTTATATCTTATATATGATTTTTAAAGTTTGTTTATGGGATTTTTTAATCTTTTGATTATCTTTTTTTATCAATGTGATGATTTATTATTCATATCAACATTATGATACAAATATGATATGTTTAAATTATAAGTTGACGTAATGTGTAATTTGTAATTTTTTTGCAATTCGCTAATATATATTTGCGTGATGTATCTTTTAGATGAAACTTGAATAAAATCTTTGCATGTTAATTTTCCATCATGTGTATTGATAATAATCTTATAATTTAATACTGTTATTATCATGCAAAAAATTATTACTAAAAACACATATTCATTGAACAACGTGTGTAATGTAGTTTATAAATTTTATTAAATTTATTTGCTAGTTTTTATTTGATCTGTATGAAATAATAATAAAAATAATATTTATTTTTAATTTTAATAAAATTAGCGTAAATTTTGATACAAATCTTCCTATTGTTACAAAATTACTTAAAGATGAGTGAAATGTTATATACATTCAAATAGCTACAATGAGTTGAAAAGTATAATTTCAAGATGCTTGAGCTTTTTTGTATGATTCATGTTTCTTGTTTGTGACTTTGCTCAATTTTTATTTCATTTATTTTAGGTTAGTTTTATTTCATATCATTTATGTAACGTGATTTGTAAAATATCATGTGATTTTACTTAAAGATAGAGATATAAATTTTTTTCAATACTTTCTATTTTCATACCATAATATTTTTAACTTACAACAAAGATGTTAAAAAAGATGATAGATTGTTATGTAAAGCGTTTGCATCTTAATAAAGAAAATTCTAAAACAAAAATTGACATTGCCTATTGTGATGACATGAGAAAATTAAAAGTATGAGATGATATTCATTCAATCATTATGTACTATCATATTGAATATAATAAATGCACTATCTATAGATAAAATTTGTATTGTAAATGTATTACTTAAACATATCAAAATCATTGATATGTTTTGATTGAATATATATATACACACACACAAAGATATTCATGTATGAGTATTGTCTTCAAAACTACTTGTTAACATCTGTCATAATTCAATGCAAACTGATATATGGATAACCACACAAGTAGGAAGTCATTATAATGATTGATTGAAAAATGAAAATCCATTGAAATATAAGAAAATAAAAGAATGTAAATACATCTTATTTATGGTATTTCTTGAAAATTATGTAATTTTGTGAGTTTAAAAATTACTATTTCAAGAAATTTCAGTTGTGTTATTTTTAATGATTACATATGTCGTTCATCATCAATCGCATTTTTTTATTAAATTCAATTTCAAAACGGAAAATAAATTCTGTTAGATTTTAATAAAAACTTATAACATGTGTTAAACATTTTTTATCAAAGAGAAAAGAGATTGACAATACTAGAAAAAGTGTTTCACGGAATTCAGATTTTACTTTTTATTTATTTTAATTGTGGCATTTTATTTCAACTTCAATTTTGTGGTGCACTAACATAATATATTAGAGATATTGTTTGTATAATTAAAAAGGAGTCATTCATATCTAACTTTTTTTAATATGATTTTGTTGTCAATATATACAAATTGAAAATATTATCTCTAACTTGAATATACAAATCCGTGAAATTTTAATTTTACATTGTACCTTATATCAATACAATAGGAAATTAAAAAAATTAAATATCTATTATAGATTTCGAATCAACATTGTTGCACTTGCTAGCCATGATATTTTTCAAGACTTTACAGAATGAAAAGTCAATGAGATAAAAAAGACAAAAATATTTTTTTTATTTTGATAATAATGCGGAGAAATTAATAAGATTTTTCTTAGGTTTTTTTAAATATTAACATCATACAACATCATATATCCATGCTGTGTTCATATTTTTTGTGTTATACCTTTTTGACTATAATTTGTTTACATTTGTTTCTAATTTGTTTGCTTATTGGCTTGGAATTTGATTATTCTCATAAAAGAAGTTATCAAATTCAAAAACTTATTTTGGCCACATTTACTTAGATGATAACACAAGTGATGACACACTTATGTATGTATGTATATGTGAGGTTTGTGAAAATGGATGAAAAATGTCAACACATTTATTAGGATGCGGTTATTACATAAGATTTACATATTGACTTGTTTTCTACTAAAAATGGTTTGGATATTTTATTATCTAACCAACATGAGTCTGACAGATGAAACATATGTTTATAAAGGGTAAGGTGTCACTTACTAAAATAAAGATAAGAGCTTTCTAAACAAGAACATGAGGGGTAAGATATTCAATGTTGTCAAGACACAAGCTAACACTTTGAGAACAGAATAAACGGAAGAAGTTTGAATATTCTGGTTGAGTGTGTCTTGTGATGCTACATATGTGCTCGAGAAAACAAAGATTACTGCTAAGGGTAGATTATTTCAGATATTTTGTTTTCATTTTTTGAATTCTTATAGTGTATGTTGAGACACTACTCTGTATGTGACACTCTAGAACTATGATCACTATACAAGGAATCTGTTTGCGAGACACTTCGTTCATGGAGATGAGCGATTATATTTCATATTGCTAGTTTGAACATGTTTCCAAGCAGAGTTGGATGAGACTGAAAATTTAAAAACCTTCTGTTATATTACTAGGAGATGCTATGGATGAGTAATTACCAGCTGGTGTTTCTGTGGGTACTCTTATTCCATATTACGTATATCTCATTTAGTTGTTGCGTATATGGGATGGTGATGCAAAAAGTTGGAATTGGTTTGTACATAGTTGGTCAATGTGTTAGTATAGATGGTGATTTTACGAAATATCAGATGGGTGCAATCTACCTAAGAATTGATTTCAGACTTAAAATTTACATGCTCTTACCGGAATCAATATTTTATCTAGAATAAGTAATTGTGGAGCAATCTTGGATTAAGTAAGAGAATTTTGCTTGAAATGAACGGACTAACACATGGTACAATGGATTGATAGACTGCACACCGTTGAAACATCATAAGGAATAAGAAAGCACTTTTTCTGTACAAAGCAGTACCAGGAGTTAGCTAAAACAAATAAGGATTGTGAAAGCTATGCTAGAAGCTTGAAACTATGTGACAACAAGACTATGTGGATGTAATAATTCATGGTTATGTTAGAATGTGAAATGACGGTAGGTAATATGTTCAGAATGTCTGACCGGAAATTCACATGGAGCCAAGTCATATTCAAATTGCATAATTATTTTCTTTGATTTATTTAGTACAATGCTGTAATATAGGGCTATTTTTAGACATTCACATCCCTTCAGAATTCACAGTTTCTTGGTATACTAGAAAATGGTTCCAACTATCTGTCTCCGAAGAGGAGGTTTTAGAATTGGATTCATGTGAATAGGCAACATCATAATTAAAATCTAGCTAGAAAGGTATGTAAATACTTTACTAGGACACGGTGGTAACAAATCTTTTATTTGCTTGAAAGGAAAACGGAAACAAAAAATGGTGGAAATATTTGAGCTGGCCAACACATCTCAATGTTGTACAGCTCTGGCTACAATAATTAAATTGGGGCAGTTTGAGACAATTACAAAAGTGCATCTTCAATATAACATAGATATATCAATGATGTAGATGACATAGGAAGGCACGAATTATGTTACGGAAATTCACAATAGCGTGTACATTGATAAAAAAGTATGGCATTCTTCAAACGAGTCCATAACCCTTAGCAATTGACACAATGCTAAGGATAGGGTATAGAAGCTTCCAACAATACTCTAGCCTTTGGTGACGTTACAAGTATATTGTTTTTAACTGCATTTCTATAAGTCATGCAAGAAATTTGAGTGATGTCTTCTGCTCTTGGAAGCTTTAAAGTTGAAGAGTGAAATAAGACCATTACCCGAAAGCTTTGAAGGAAAATAGTAATAAATAACAAAATGGATGGGAAGACCCCGTCAAGCCGAGTATGGATGACACGTGTGTATAGGCCTCCAGAAAATACAAGTGATAGTTATAGGAACATGGTCAATCGTATTACAAAACGGAAGTTCTCCAAAGGCTCTGGTACCCAGATGAGAGCCACGCGTGGAAGCCTCACGGTTGCTTGCATCGCAAGTCACTTAAATCAATGTAGATTTTGTTGTAAAAGTCATAATGTAGTTTGCCACACAAGCGGAAATCCCATCAAACTACTTCCTCAAAAGCATTTAAGTGTTCCAGTACAGTTCGTTCAAGTGGCAAACTCGAAGAGAATATCGTGAGAGGGGATTGACACGGAGGCAACCGTAGCCTGGTGGGGTCGTTATACAAAAGGTAGAGTACACTGCCGGCGATGGTTCCGGAGGATATCATCGGAGTCGTACGTCTCACGCAGGCGGGACCGTATGGGACTCGGCGCGGGAGAAAGTGCCGTGGATTGGCCAAAGATCCCGACGGCGGCAGGCATGACTCGCGACTCTGCCGAGGCAGAGCGGCTGTAGGCCAAAAGGCGAGTCCTCTAAAGAGGTGTCGGGGAAACCCAACCGGGCTCAGAGCAACCAGCGGGTTAGGACGCGAGGACCCCGATCTTAAGGCTCAAACCCGCTGGGCTTAGGGTGGCTTTGGGCACGAACGAGGCGGAAGGAGGAGGAGGAAGAAGAAGGAGAAGAAGAGCAGCGAGCGAAAGCAGAGCGACGAACGCTCGACGTCCGCGTCGACAAATCCCGCTTGCAGTTTGTCGACTTTGGCGCGTGCAATCGTTCGCACCCGCTGCTGCCCTTTGATTCATCCAATTGGAGATCGGGCGCTGAGGCGAAGCGTTTGTGCTTGTGCCCCGGTGGATCTTGTTTTCCAGAAGGTGAGAGCGTGGTGGGCTGGAGTGAATTGGATGGGAGTGTCTCAGATTGGATAGGATGCAATGTGAAGTACAGTAATCGAGAATGGGACGTGGGGATGCTCTCCGATCTCATGCGAAGATGCGATTCTTTGAATTTCGATAGGTGCATTGGTGGATCGGACTGATAGCTCCCTAATATTTTCGTCTGGTCTCTTTCTTTCCCTGAGTCTAGCGTTCGCTGTGGGACGTGTGTGCTTACCGTGGGCGGCGTTTAGATATTTCTTCTGCTTGTTGCGTTTTCTCGTCATCCTCGCCAGTGCCTATTCCATGAAGCTCATAAGTAGCGTAGTTAATGTAGCCATGCCAAATATTCATTGAGATTCTGTCGTGGAATTGCGTCCTATAATCATTAACTTTTCTGTTCGGGGGTTTGGCCTATAATGTACATGATTTTGACCAGTGACAGGAGAATTGGGGTTTTGGGTCCGCTCTTTATTCTTCAATTCCTAAATACTTTGCATTTTCCCATCTTGCAGTCTTGCGATGTTTTCACCTTCTGAATTTTGCTGATATTCGCGGTGGTGCTGCTTTTGCATTTGTGAGTGAGTCGAAGGTTTCCGTTGATCCTTTGAGATGAAGTTTGAGTTTACACTGATTTGAACTCCCCGATATCTATTTCTTCTTGTGACACGCATATTGTGCCGCACAGCTACCATAGGCGAGAATAATTCTGCATCTAATGCGGCATTTGGTGCGCCATGAGTGCAGACAGCATCAAGCAGTTGATCTACTGCTGGCTACCGCTTACTGACTTGATTAATTCAAGAAGTCAAGTCTTTCTTACCGGTACGGTTGTATGACAACACTTGTTTAATATGCCTTTTGGGATAAAACATTGCTGTCGATAAAGGCTTCGCCTGAAATTGAAGTCGTATGAGGTGCTGATTTTTCCGACACGTATGCGCGAAAATACTGCCGTCAAGTTTTTCTCCTTGGGTCTCATGCAAGCAGAGAAAACTTGAATCTAGCGATAACCATTGCAAAGCATAACTTGTTGCTGTTGAGGCAGCAAAGTTGAAGCAGGGACTGTAAAATTCGTCTCGTGTATAGGTACGGGACTCAAACTAGTGGTCAGTAGCAGGAGCATCACGTCAGCTTCGGACCCTTTCGTTTTAATTATGCCCAAGTGAGTGACTGCGAGGTAGCTACCTATTTTGATCTTCCACTGTGACTACTCGAAAGGGTTTAACCATAAATTCTGCAGCACGTTTGTTGAGGAGGCGTAGCTCGTTGCACTTACAGGAGTAATTTAGCTGTGTGCAACTTCTGAATACTTATCGGGTAAGCAGATATTATAAAAAATTTCAACGAACCAGATTCTGGCCAACTTTGTTGAATTTTCATAAGAAGGAGCACGGAATGGAATGGCTGCCGAGTCTTCTCATCTGCTGAAACAGAAGCTGTCGATTTCTACCTTGTTCAGCACTCCTCAAGAGTTCAACTAGTAGAATGGTTGAAATTGAAGAGAGTGAGTAGATATTGTAAGTAACGCAAAAGTATGGTGAGAGCATGTTCAGTTTCTCGTCTTTTCACCCTTGCTTCCAGTAAATCAAACGTTCTACTCGTCACCTTCGCTTGGGTCATATGTTGCGGGTTAGATTCTATATAGCATTATTTGCTGTCAGCTTTCCTGATAATCCTGAATCCACTCGTACATTGACTTTATGGGCGGAAGCTAATATCTGTCCGTTTTTATTTTCGTGACTATCTGGAACATACGGTGAATGTCTTCTGTGTTTTCTAGAACAGAATCTCCAAAAAGGTCAACTGATGATATCATGAGTAGTGAGTAATATGAGTGGTACTCAAACCCTGTGTTCTGTTGGCCTCAGGGTGGAATTTTGTGACTCCGGTTTGGCCGGTGACTCTGGGCACCGGTCCCGCTCCTGTACTCACGTCGTGGTACTTGTAATACTATTATCGAGCTTTGAAGTGATTGGACGACAATATCATCGTGGACACTCTACATTGGCGCCAAAGCGTCCAAGAACAATTTCAACTTGTAAATTTAGCTGTGGAGATCTGCGCCTCTTTTTGCTGTAATGTGACACGGATCCACCTCTGCCCAATCTATTTGGTGCAGATTTCATTGTATAGGCATTTGTGGATTTGATTGATCAAGGACGGTTCGAAGAGATTTGCCTCTTGGACGACTTTGCTGCAGCATTAAGGTCTAAAGATATAGATCTCGCGATTGTGGAGCACTTGAGAGGTGTGGCCGGGGTAATGGAAGATTCATATGGGAACTACTCGGTCGGATCCATCGGTGGTAGGGATATAGCTTCACCCGTCGTGTACGCTCACCCGGGCGAACCAGGAGGAAGAGGTGATTCGGGAAGCAGGGGATCACATGGCAACCACAGAGGATATCGACGAGGGGGTTCGTATCAAAGAGGGCGCAATTTTGTAGACAATAGGCCGAACAGTCATGAACACCCACAGTTTGCAAATGCGAGGCGGCATGTTGGAGGACACGGTGGAGGCTTTGACAGTATTCCGGACAGTCCACAAAGTGGGGATTCGTTTATTGGGGAGAGGGAAGGACGCGGTAGAGGTGTTACTGGCCCTTTGAGATTCAATTCAAACAATTTTCGTGGTGGGCGAACTGTGTCGCAGGACAACCCGCAGGATTATAGGTCGTACGCCAGTGGAGAGAGTTCTTTTGATGGGAACAGAGAGCGCTGGTCTGTGTCAGAAGCAGCACCTGCAGGTGATAGTCGGAGTGATGATCAACTGGACGTGCATCGGGAAAATCAAGACCATCGGATTAGCGAGCAGCAACGGAGATTCGCTGAATCGAACCGATTTGGGGGTTCTAGAAGAGGGTCGGGTGCAGGGAGAGGGCAAAGGTTCAACAGGAGAGGATCGTCGGATGGCTCACATGCCCCTCAGACGAGTAGACGGGGTGGGACATCATATCATGAAGTAGAGGATGGTAGAAGGTTAGATAGAGGAAGCAGAGGAAGACACGACGAAAATAGAGAGATAGTTGTGGCCAATTACACGAATCATAGTGAAGATTCTGAGCATGGATCAGTTGGTCTACTCGCACACTTAGAGCAAGAAATCCCACAGGCTAGTTCAACTACGAGCAACAACTACAATAGAGATGGAAATTGGCCAGAGTTTTTTGGGGAAGTCGAATATGATAGCAGACCTGGAAGTAGTTCTAGTGACAATGTTCCCTTTAGAGAGAATGCTGGAAGAGTATATGTTGGTGATAGTGGAGGTGGACGAGGAAGACGGGAAAGCTACAGAGAGAACAGAAAAGCAGACGGGCCGTCGGTGATCCAGGGACATCGTAGAGACAACCATCAAATAACGGGACGTAAAAAAGCAGTTTTTCAAGCTGACAACGGAGAGGCCTTGTGGCGTGCAAAAAAATCAGAAGTACCACAACTTGTGCAAGAGCTGGAAGAGAGGTTGACCAGAGGTACCATTGAATGTATGATTTGTTACGATATGGTGGGTAGAAGTTCACCAATGTGGTCATGTGGTAGCTGCTATGCTATATTTCATCTAAACTGCATCAAGAGATGGGCCAGAGCTCCCACATCTACAGATTTGTCAGTTTCTTCAGCAAATCACTCTTTGGAAGGAAACTGGAGGTGTCCTGGTTGTCAAGCTGTGGAACTCATCACTGCCAGGGATCTTCGGTACAATTGCTTCTGTGGTCAAGTCGACAATCCTCCGGTTGATCATTATCTTACTCCTCATTCATGCGGTGGTCCTTGCAAGAAGCCTTTGGATAGGAGTAAGACAAAACGATGCAATCACTACTGTACGATGCAATGTCATCCAGGTCCTTGTCCACCTTGTTCTGCAGTGGCTCCATCAGAGTTTTGTCCTTGTGGTAAGAAGACCTTCACTCGCAGATGTGGCGAACAAAAAGCTATTAGCAGTTGTGGAGACGTTTGTGGGCGAAAGCTGTCATGTGGACGTCATTCTTGTTCCCGGATTTGTCACGAAGGATCTTGTGAGCTGTGCAAAGTCGATGTCAATACTCAATGCTTTTGTGGAAAGAAGCATGAAACCATGTCATGCGGAGCGGTGGAGATACAAGGAAATGTTGATTTTGAGAAGGGTATACTGTCATGTGGCAGCCGTTGCTTGAAAACTCTTTCTTGTGGTAATCACGAATGTCAGGAAAAGTGTCATCCTGGGCCTTGTGGAGAGTGTGAGGTTTCACCTGCAATGTTGCAAACATGTCCTTGTGGAAAGAAGAAGCTGCTGGAACTAGTCGGATCTGGGCGACCAAGGATCAATTGTACCGATCCTGTTCCGACCTGTGGACAAGGTTGTAGTAAAGTACTACCTTGCAAGGTGCATGTATGTAGAGATCTATGCCATTCAGGTCCTTGCCCGCCCTGTCGGGTACCAGTGGAGCAAAAATGCCGGTGTGGTTCCTCTAGTAGGTCAGTTGCTTGTCACGTTTCACAAGGAAATCCTTTTGTGGGGGAGGAGACGGAAGGTCTTTTTCTTTGTGAGAGGAAATGCGGACAAAAGAAAAGTTGCGGAAGACATCGGTGTAACAACAGATGCTGCCCTACGACAAATGGATCTAGCCTGCAGGATACTAGCGATCGGGATCCGCACGACTGTATTCTTGCTTGTGGAAAGAAGTTACGCTGTCGGCAACATAATTGTCAAGAGCGTTGTCATTCTGGTCACTGCCCTCCATGTTTAGAGTCCATATTCACTGAGCTGTCTTGTGCTTGCGGCAAAACTTCTATACCCCCACCTGTTCCATGTGGAACACCTTTGCCTTCCTGTCAAGAGCCATGCTCATTCCACCAGCCCTGTGGACATCCAGCAACCCATCTTTGTCATTTCGGTGATTGTCCACCTTGCACAGTCGCCGTGACTAAAGAATGTGTTGGAAATCATGTTCTTCTTAGAGGAGTTCCTTGCGGATCCAGAGATATCAAGTGCAATAAGCTTTGTGGTAAAACTAGGCAGTGTGGGTTGCACGCTTGTGCCAGAGCTTGTCATGTTCCTCCGTGTGACAATGTAGAGGATGCTAGTGCGAGGGGTGTGAAGACTGTGAAAAATTCATGTGGGCAGCCTTGCGGAGCCCCTCGAAGAGATTGTTCTCATACATGCATTTTGACTTGTCACCCTTCCGCCCCTTGTCCCGACAACCGATGCAAAGTCGTAGTTACAATCACATGCGGCTGTGGAAGGATATCAGGGGATGTTCCTTGTGATGCAGGAGGCAGTAGCACCAGCAGAGCTTCAGCAGAGACGGAGATGATACTCAGCAGGTTACCAGCTCCTCTGCAGCCTATTGCTCAGAGTAGTGAGAGGACTCCTCTTGGTCAGAGGAAATTGTCGTGTGACGATGAATGTGGCAAGCTCGAGAAGAAGAGACTCCTTGCAGATGCTTTTGGTGTGGAGCTGTCAGGAGATTTCACCAGCGGAGACACTGGAGCATTAGGGTCTGAGATGTTGAGTGAGATGCTCCGCAGGGATCCGCAATGGGTATTAGCTGTCGAAGAGCGCTTCAAATTTTTGCTTCTAGGACCAAAGGTTTCAACCCTGAAGGTCCACGTCTTCTGTCCCATGGCGAAGGAAAAAAGGGAGGTCATATATCAGCTTGCAGAGAGATGGTCTTTGTCTGTGAGCAGTGCCGGTCGAGAGCCACGGAGGTTTCCTATTGTTCACGTGACCAACAAGTCGAAGGTTCCGTACACACGCATGTTATCTAAAAGTCAGCTCCCCCCTGCAGGGCAGCAGACCCCTCCAGCTTTTAACGCAGCCGTCGACATGGAGCCTGGTCTTGTGGTGGCATTTTTTGATGTCCCAAGAGAGGTTGATATGAGTGGTTTGGTTCTGAGATTTGCAGGAGAGTGCGAACTCGTCTGGTTGAATGACAAAAACGCCCTGGCAATATTTGGAGATGTGGCCAGGGCTGCCACGGCTTTAAGACGAGTGGATCACACAACTGCATACAAAGGTGCCATCTCTGTGCCTGGTTCTGCTGTTTACACATCAAGTAAAGGGGCTTGGGGACAGGCAGCTGGTTCTTCCTTTGCTACTAAACCGTCTGCCAAGAAGAAAGCTGTGCAGGAGTCTAGCTGGGTGGAGGATGCTTGGGGAGATGATAACAGAAAATCATCCAAAGAGCAACTTACTGGGGCCTGGCAAAGAAAGGAACCCTCAATCATTACTAAAAATCCATGGGGAGCATTGGAACAGACTAGAGCAAGGGTGAGTGATGCTCGGCTCAAAGGGTGTTATGTCTCCAGTCAACCTTCGGGTACATCTCAAGCCTCTACTAAGGAAGGTGAAAGCAGTGCGCAGGGTGAGCGGACAAAACCTGTCAAGTCTACAACCAAAGAAAGAGGTGACCAGGCTGGGCCTTCGGGAGCTTCAAAAGAGGTCTCAAACTGCGCCACTGTTATTACAAAAAGCCCCGCAGATGACTCCCTTGTCCCGCAAAACGGTGAAAAGGACGACTGGGAGAGATTGTTGGATTAGACTCTACAAAGTTTTGACCTATACTTGCCTTCATATTGTTTTGTCACCCATTTCCAATCAATAAATGTTTGGAAAGATTGTGAATTTTGTCCAAATTTGCGTCTAAAAAGATGTAAGTTTTCCACACAAAGTGCATCCGTTAGATGTGGAGCTCTGGCGTTTCCAGTGAGAAAATAAGTTGGCCTTCACAGAAGTTGCTCCTTTGTTCCAGTTAAACGTCCGAATCTGTGGCACTTGACCCAGTACATTTAGACTTAGCCATAGTAATATGGCAATTTCCAAATCGAAACTGCTTTGACGTGATTCCACAGGACATTATTCGTGTCAGCTTTCATCAAAATCGACCATTTCGGCATCTGCTTCGGACATTATGCTCTGATGGGTTATTTCCCTAGGTTTTTGCTGGGGTTGACTGTATCCTGTGGTGATTACATTCACAAACCGTGTGGTAGATGTACAACCTCCCTTTGAAGGTTGCATATCGACTTGTAATGACCTCAAACTCTCATGGTTAAGATATTTTCTGGGGTTAGTAAACAACTTTTTTCTGAAGTACTTACTGCTTCTTACGGTTGTTATGCATCATGAGTGCAGCCAAACACAGATCTCTTTAGATCTCCACGGGTCCGTCGGTAACCTCCATTTCATTACCTAACGTTTACTCTAGTTTTCTCTGTAAAAAAGCCAGAGATCTTTTCTTTAAACAAAGCGAATCCTGCACTTCTGAGCTTCAGTTTTTCGTATCTATCCGCGCTCGGATCGTTGCTTCCAGTCTCTGGAAGCCTATTACTTTTTTGCTGTTTGTGTACGTTGTGGTTTAGGTGATGAGTTCATGTTTGCATTTTGATTACTCTCGCCGTCTCCCTAAGTTCTGGATGAACACTTGCTTGTGTTCGTTAGCTACTTCCTCTCACTGAATCTCTTTGTACTTTTGAGTGTGCGCGCTGCATAGCTCTCATGAATTCAGTGGGTTATAATTACACTGAACGGATCTCTATCGCATCTCTATCTATGATCAATCTTCGGTCGAATGCTCCATTACATATTTTACAGGAACTCTTGTAAACGAAAATTTGTCCAATTTAACAATATTTTTCCTATATTTACCAGAATCAGAGATCTTCTGGACATAACTTATTCAAGTCGAGTATATTGGGCTCGGGATTCTTCCTTGTTGCTCAATGTTCTACTTTGCAGCTCAAATTGGACCCCTTAGCTGCCTTGTCAATCCTCTGAAGTCCACTTTTAGTAGCAAGTGTCCATATGATCCTTGCTACAAAGAGTATAAAGTGTCCGATATTCTAAGGTGAAATATGAATTTTTGCTTTACAAATTAAGTTTAAGAGCACAGCGTGTCCTCTTGATCAGCAGTGTCGCGTGTGTCCACATGGGAACACGAAGACACATTTATATTTACTGAATGTTATTGAACTGTAGCCCAATGTATGCAGACCAAGTCTTGTGCGGACCCGCTTATCTCACAGAGTTAATCACAGTAATTTTGTCTACTGTGAAACAAGTCGAGGGTAACCTCCTTTGTTGCAGTTAGGGAGCCGGTAGACCTAAACATTGCACTTCTCGAGTGTTTCTCACAAGACCGTGAAGTAGAACTTACATTACAAGAAAAGGTGTTTAATGTTCTCATGGTAGCACTGCAATAACGAAATACCTTCGATGCGATGCCCATGATGCTTGTTGATGGTGGGATCTCAATTAATTGCATTGCATTGGTGATTATTTGCATGTGTTTCCATGTACGAAGTGATGTACACCGTGTTGTTCGAGATACAACCACGTATATGCAAGATGGTTGCTGCCAAACTTCGGCAATGAGTCACTAACTATTGAAAACATCAGATTAATTATGGATATTCTCGATTGTGATTGGATTATTGAATGTTTAATTTAATGGTTTTAATAAGTGGGGTTCATCTTTTCTCCAACCTGAGCAAGAAGGAGAAAATTTAAACATAGTAGGTTGAAAGGAAGTAAATCTCAAAGATATGCGCGACATGGCAAATTTTTTCTTACAATTTGAGAGATCTCATTGAAAACACCGCTAGAGATGTTCGACATTATTGAACATAACGGAAATGATTCACTTTTCGAAACTGGTAAAATATTTTATAATATTGGACATTATTGTTACTCTGACACTGAAACTTGATCACCACTTTTTAATTACAATCAAATAATGTAATTACTACATGATTACACAATCATAACTGTAATGTTTATTATTTTCCAACTTAATAGTAGATGCTTATGTCTCGTTGCTTTTATCTATGTAAAAGATCCCATTAATAAATAATTTTTACATAGAAGTATATTTACATAAAAATTAATTAATTATAGCCTATACATCCTCCATATTCTCAAGCTGCTATATCTGTTGATAACACAAGACCTAATATCATGATGTCTAATGAAGTTGAAATGAAGCGATTTTTTTTTTTAAAGTACATCACGTAAGGACGATTCCATGAAATTGTACTGTATCCACCGTTGAATTCTCCATTGAATCACTTTTGAATAATGTATATAATGTAGTTAGCTAAAATGATTTGACAGCTGTGGTAAGTGCCATTCCCCACAGTCGGATACCCGCGCGCAGCCTTGGATAAGAAACTTTTCCATTCGTACAGCGGTTGTTTGGATAGTACACAAGTGTGCATCTGGCAGTTCTTATCTCCTTTCAGGTCGCTAGTCGTTGCACTGAAATGGTTCGCTGTTTGATTTTGTTTGACATCTTTGGGTTTTGTACGACGGGTGATACTCCAATCCCATATCATACTGAAAGCCCAGAGGAGTTATGATTGCGGGACGATTAACGGGAAGACTCATCAGTCGTTGCGACTTATTGAACAATTCCTACTTTCCGGGCTGCTGTTAAGTCCTAAGATTCGAGGAGAAGAAAAGACAGAAGAGATATCGGAGTAGTTCCCATCACCTCCACCTTCTAGGAGATGATGACCTTCTAGTACAGTTGCCAGTTCTTCTTGGTGCATCGGGTCATGATTTTAGATTTCCTTCCTCCATTACACAAAATTGCTGTGTGACAAAAAGTTGATTTTTAAAAATATGGATGATAATGAGCATGATTGATAGAAAGCATTCCCTTTTCAAATTGAAATTTTAAAGTTAAAATCCAGATTTCTCTTATTCTAATGCTTAAATATGTTCTCAAATTTCGATACTGTGACATTATTTAAATTTTTTTAGCTTCAGGGGAAGAATTAGTTTAATATAATTTAATGCATATAAGGTATAAGTGTTTATGTAATTTGATCTCTATTTTTTTCATACATAACATTGACGAGTCTTGTTTGAAATGAAAAAAAAGCTTTTCAAATTGATGTCAACAGTACCTGTTAGTTAGCGTAAGCAAGTGATCAACTCTACATCCGGGTAGTAGTAACTATTGCCCGGATGTAGAGTTAGAATGTTATATTATTAACTATACAAGTCTTCTTCTCAACTCCAGAAGTAAGCAACTGCAAAACAGAGTCAAAGTTCAGGGTTTGTGTAGGTTTGGATTTAGCTAAGACTGCTACATTACGACCATGAGCACTTTAAGGGAAAAGTTTAATTTGAATTTAGAATATTCTCAATTCAAAACTTATCAATCATCGTTTTGAAGATACTAGGGTGACTGTAAAATAAATAAAATAAATACATACGAACAATATCGGAAAACATGTGAGTTCCTCTTTGAGTGCACGAGCCAAATTGTTTCTATTACTAAGTTCATAACCTCCTATCTCTAAACCACAATATTTTTCAGTTTTGTTCTCATCTCTATGTGTATCACTAATATTTTCAAAGAAATCTAAGACGATGAAAACCAAAGTGTATGATAATATATATATTTTTATTAGCTCAATTTATATGAAGAGAATTTAACTCTGATAATTTAGATAATGTGGATGCGATAGTAGATCACTCCCGTTGCTATTGGGGCATAGCCCGATCTTAATCATTTGGTTTAAACAAAGTATAATTTGATAGGGATTTTGAATATTTTTTGCTCTATCATGAGATTTTTTTGGTTTTACTTACTCTTAAATCCCAATGAATATAGTTCTTGTTAATTTTAATATTTGTGACCATGAAATCGAAAGTTACAACATAGAAACTAAATTGTGCTTCATCTGTTGAGTACGATACGAGAAGTAACACGCCATGTAACAAATACAATGAGAGACCAAATACCGAGGATATCGAAGATACATATTCCGAGGAACCAGCCCACTAAATAGTGTTTCCCTTATGACATTAAGAGCAAATGGTCCACGCAAGGTAACGAATTAAGTGGTCAAAGACGTGTAACCTGTCGGTTGCCTATAGATTAAGAAGATATATGGGCCACCTTCGGTTTTGATCATGTGGCTTTGTACAAGAATTGCTGCCAGTAAAATCAAGTGAAGAATTATTTTATTGTTTGTGGGACGAATGGGAGATACGTCGAGAGCTAAACCTCCAAATATTGACGGTGATAGGCCATTATTATCTATAGGATGCAAGAATAGAATAAATATATCACATGGTGATATGATTCAGTACTAGAAAATTTAAAATAAATTTGTAAAATTTTTTTTTTTTTTTTTTTTGGGATAATTTTTTGAAAATGAGAAGAAGTATGAAAATTTATAACACGAAGATATCGTTAGACAAGCAGTGCATATTTTAAGATAGTTTGTTTTAAAAATCTGATTCATAAAAAAATGTGCCTGTATCAAAATTCTAGACGAAACATTTTCCAAAATCCAATTCTCATGTTTAATCGTACGAGAACCATTGGAATCCTTGACTCTTAAACATCTGACCTGGGGAGTCGCCATGGAGTGCACCGGTAAGCATAGATCGCAGTGCTCTCTCCGCTGGTCGTTTGAACCGTTTGAATCTCTGCGCTCTTTGAAAAGGCGAAGGCGAAAAAACAAAAAGAGGCCAATTTCGATGGTTCCACCGCAAATCTGCACACGAACTGTGTTCATTAAAACGAAGGTGGTGGTGGGTCACGACTCCGATGCTTTGGACCGTACCACTATTTTTATGTGCCCGAAGGCGCGGCATGTTTATGGGTGGCGACGTGTGGGAGTGATCTACAAAAGAAAGCGTGATGGACTTCATGCGAGGAAGGGTTTAAAGGAGCTCCCCCGAGATTCAAATCCTGCTGCGGGACGACGCTGAGGACAAAACAGACCGTTTAGAAAGAGGCGAGGAGCCCAGGGCTCGTGGATCGAAATATCAGGTCGCCGGCGACCGATATCCGGTGCCCATTAGGACTGCAGACCAGATTCAGTGTTGTGGAGCGCTTGGGCGGCCGGTCACATCTGCACTCAGCGCCCGCTGACTCCGCTGTGGTTACCCGACGGGACTCCGGGTTCGAACTGTCCGGAGGCCGATTTCGTTGGCGTGGTTGTGGAGGGAGGGAACAAGAGATAGGTTCCGAAGTGCGCAAGCTGCAACATTGCGCAATGAGTGAGTTGCGGTGTAATAATGACAGCGCGATTCAATTAATGGTGTACTGGTTATTTCGCTGTATGCATGAAGAGGGAGTCGAGTCTCCGACGAGGTGGGGATTTTCAGTCCGGTTGCGTAATGGGTTTCAGCGCCATTGACGATGTACTGGTTCGTTTCTTCGTGCCCAGCAGGAGAATAAGATAGACAAGACGCCATCAAGTCTGACACGCAGGCAGGGTGGAATGTCCTTGAATGCGAGCCCAAACTGGCGACCGACGTCGCCAGAGGTTGTCGCAAGACGCATCTCCTCGAAATGTTTTTAATCTTGGAAAATAGAAAATGCGGCATTGGCCGGGTGCCATACAGAAGCGGGTAATGTAAAGTCTTGTGATTCCGGTCACGTACGCCGCATGGTAGTTGGCAAGGACGCTGAAGAAAGAGAAACTTAATATAGACAAATGATTATCCACTCATATCTTCGATAGGGGAGATGGCTGAAGATATTGTACGGCACCAAACACCTCTTCATCGAAAGATGTAAGTACGATACGATATTTTCATGCTCAAGTTATCCGGTGTTCAACCGATCTTCTTTCGGTGCATAACGTTCCGAACACATCACAAATCCCTAGGTCACGCACGGAGCCGGGTTTTCTTCGCGTAGTCTCGTGTCCGTGACAGTCGATTGACGTCTACGGCCGACTGGACGCAAACTTTATATTTTAGATCAATGCACGAAGGAAATTCGATGTTCAATCTTGACGCTCGTTGCATCCACGAAGGAGTAAGGCCATCCCACGGAAGTAGAAATGTGAAAGCGTCCGATCGGTCGTAATGAAGAATGAGATACTCGTAGATCTCTCGAAGCCAAGAGCGATTGCGAGCTCGGCATCGGAGACACCGCTCGAGCAGACTGAATGATAGAGCTCACAATCACAACACACGGAATCAAGAGAGCCCGCATGGTGTGGCAAAGCGTTACGCTGGACTCGAGGATGAAGGGATCGGCCAGGCAAAGAACTAACTAAAAGAAAGACGAACGCTTCCAAAAGTAACGGCAACGGCAATTGCCTACGACTTGTCTAGGCTAGACTCGACTAGACTGGAAAGGAGGAAAGGCAGCATCGAATCTCGTCCACACTCCTCGATGCTCCCACAGGATTGCAGATAAATTTGGAGACTCGCTCGCTCTCTTCCTCGTTTCGTTCTCACTCAGGGGAGTCTCACCGACCGGACCGACACCGTGGAGCTCGTTCTTGTAGCTCGAGGACACGAGGGCGAGTGCAGTCATTACAAGGGCCAGCGGAGAAGGAGGACGGACGGCTTGATTGGTCATTGATGGCACGGGGCAAACGTCGCGGACCATGACTGGCCACTATTTCGAGAGAGGGATAGAGAGGGGGAGGGATGGAACTTCAAATCGCCCCGAGAGGGAGGCAAATGATGGAAGTCGAGTAGTCGAGTAGTCGAGAAGGACACGAGGTGAAGTCGCAACTCCGCCACTTCACACCCGACACGGAGAGCGGCCGTGCTGATGTGTGGCGAATAGCGACTCGCGAATGCCGGCCGACCTTTTGGTGATTATGGATTGAACGAAGGCGCAGACAGCCAATGGATTCAAACGGGCCTTTGCGAGTCGCGACTTTATGCTGACCCATGGAGATGTCAGAGTCACGGGGTAGGGAGGGAGAGAGGAGGTGAGGGTGGGGGGAGGGGGGGGGGGGTGGGCAGCTTCAAATTTTCGGTGGGCCCCACCGCCACAACGGTGAGATTGGCAGCCCGAGGCAAGCGCGAGCCAGGTTCGGGAGCCGGGCGCTACTGAAACGGAGCAGCTAGGGTTTGGCACCATACGTGCGAGGTGCCACGATGCACACCCCCAACGGCTAAGTGTCGCGCGTGCGTACTTGAGGAAAATTTGAATTCGGGCTTAAGAGTAATATGGGGTAGCTTTAGGTAGGCAGATCGCTCGTCGCAGGAGCGTCGCCGGGCCTTGCCTTCGTGCCTTCGTTCGTTGCGCTGATCGATTTCCATTTTCCACGAGCGATACGAAACGGACCGAAACGACGAGGTCGAGGGCGACGAAGAAGAGGAAGAGAGCGGGCGCGGTAGTGGTGTAGATTAGGGTCGATGGTTGGCAAGCAACCAGGCAAGGTTGTCGAGAGAAAGATTGTGTGAAAGGGTCTTCTTCTCTCTGCGAAGCGCAACGGACAGCTCTGCGACGACCTCCTCGTTCGGTCGGAAGGGGTGGTGGTGCTTGTGGGTTGTAGGGCTTTGTAGCATCTGCTCGGCCGCGCTACGGAGCGCTCGTTCGTCGTTGGTGTTTTTGATTTGGATACAAGGACTGGGGGAGGAAAGGAAAGGAAAGGAAAGGAAAGGAAACGGTCTTGCGTTGAGGAGGGCCGAGGAGAGGCGGTGGGCAGGGCGGGGGAGGGCAGGGGGTTGCAAGGAGAGAAGTCGGAAAAGTCGGTTGCAGATTTTTGAAACGGACCGAGGAAATGAGTGAACCGGTATATTGTCTCAACGTTCGACGATGGAGAGGTGTAAGAGGCAAAAGCAAGCACGAGGAGGGTCGAAGGAAAGAATGTTTTCTGTCACTGATGCGTTAGCTTTGGATACGTAGAGATTCACAGGAAGGGGCATCGACTACAAGGATGAGTCAATGGGAACAAAAGCATAGAAGAGGTGTTGTAAGTAGTATAAAGTGGCGGATACTGAGGTTGTCGGGATCGAAGACAGGGGTGGAGTTTCGTGTGGTTAGAGCAGGTAGGCATGCGACTAGTTGACATACAGAGGCAACAGCAAGTGGTTAGAACTTGGTCGAGTAGATTGTCATTAAAGGTTACCCGTGCAGGTACAGACCGGAAGATATCCCCAGCTTCTTAATCTGCAACTGCAGCACATTGTAGCAGGTTGCTGAGCAGAAGAAAGAGGGCCTAATTTGTAAAATACAGGAAATTGCAGGGAGAGGGAATAATGCTGAGGTTTTTGATTGTTGGCCAAGCGGTGCGAGAGGCGTTAGGAGCTTCCGGGTCTAAGATATGTTTATGATTCGAGCTGGGGGAGCTATGGCTACTCAGGACTCTCAGAATAAGATGCGCACAGGTCCTGTTCCCAGTTCGTCGGGAGCAGAATCGGAGGACGATGCTATTCATCAGTTACCTCCTGTGCATGGGTGAGCGTTCTCTCTGTTTGTCAGTATGTCCTCCTTTCTTTGAGCATACATTTTTTCTATTCGCACATACACAGAGATTTCGTGCCCTGGACATCTGTTATAGAAGATTAGGAATCAAATAAAATCTCAAATCTGGAGGGAAGGTTGATGAGAGTTCCAGCTTCTATTCTAATTGAGGGCAGGAGTCCAGATTTTCTCCTCCACTGCCGAGTGTAGTTAAGATCCCAGTGCTGAAAGTTTTGCCAATTGGTTAATGTTGAACAGCCGGACCGGTGGGCCTACCCGGCGATCTTCGAAAGGAGGATGGACGCCGGAGGAGGTATGAGCCGTCAGATTTCCTGTTGTGTTCTATGTCATGGTTGGAAAGACCGCTAGGCTCCTTACTCGATTGATTGATTGATTGACATCTCGTGAAGCCATTTTTGACGGTGCTGAAGACTTCGTTGTGTCAAGGACTTGGAATGCTGAAGGAGATGACCCGGCATATGTTGTGTCGTACTGAGGGCTCTGTCATGATGTTAGTTGATACCGTCTGTCGTGAAGAGGGCCCTCTCACGTCCTTTCACCTGCCTTTCGATACCATGAACTCTCAATGTGTCCAGCGAATGTCACTCTCTGTACACACCCTGTTCTTAAGTGCTGCCAATGTCGATCTGATCCAGGACGAGATTCTTCGGCGAGCTGTGCAGTGTTTCAAAGGGAAGAATTGGAAAAAAATTGGTAAGTTTTTTTCTACATGTCGATGTCCCAAACGTCAGTGATGTATGGATATCTCCTTCTGCTGGCTGCCGGCTATGTCAGGACCAGACTCGCTTAAGTTTACGTATCGCGAGTCTTAGTGTGGATATATTTTTTGTTGAGAGCGTGAGTAATAACACTCGCTCACAATACACTGGGAGTTGTGATACTAGCACTGTTTAGTCTTATATTGCTAGTCATACAGCGAGTCTCATGAGCGTGTTTATCGGAAGACATTATCCGAGGTTAATGTGCCCCTTCGCTTTCTATATCGATGGGTTTGTCTTTCTGTTGTTCTGATTATAAATCTCCTAGATCATTGATGGCAGGATGTTTACTATCAAATGCCAAACTGCAATTGATTTCCTGCTTACCGTCATTATTCTCAATTATTAAGGCCGAGCGGAAACTGTAATTTTTTTCAGCGGAGTTTTTCCAAGATCGAACCGATGTTCAGTGTTTGCACCGATGGCAAAAGGTGCTGAACCCGGACCTTGTTAAGGGTCCTTGGACAAAAGAGGTACGAAGTACTGATCTGTTAGACCTTCTTCTGAAATCTTCTGGTATGCTTCAGATCCATTTGACATGTGTTTTGACAACATCTAACGAGACCAATTTCTGCATTGGTCTGTCAGGAAGACGATCGAATAATGGAGTTGGTTGGCAAGTATGGGGCGAAGAAATGGTCTGTTATCGCTCAGAACTTGCCCGGTAGAATAGGCAAGCAGTGCAGGGAAAGGTAAGCATGAGAGATGAATTTCCATGAAAGGATTGCGTTTGTATCGATCATGCCGCAAATGTTGGAGCTTTCTTGTTCCACTTTACTTACGAGAACCGAGATTGTATCAGATGGCACAATCATCTGAACCCAAACATCAAGAGGGATGCATGGACGCAACAGGAGGACCTGGCTCTGATACACGCTCATCAAATCTATGGAAACAAATGGGCAGAGATTGCCAAATTTCTTCCTGGCAGGTATTATTTTTATGCTTGACATTTTGACCATAATTTTCCTGGGATTAGAAATCTGTTTCTAGGGGGGCGAGACTTCGATGAACGTTGTGTCTTTGCGCTTGCTTGGATGTGGGGTGAATTGAAATAGGTCGCACGACTCCTCAGAAATGTGCAACAGCGGTTCTGTATAGCAATTTGAGTGCATCATAAGCTTACCGTGCAGTGAACGCACAATAATCTCCATGTCTTCATTGGTTTGTCTTGCAGAACGGATAACTCCATAAAAAACCATTGGAACAGTACAATGAAGAAGAAGGTGGATCCTATGTCAGCCACAGATCCTATCTCGAGGGCTTTGGCTGCATATCAAGCACAGCAAGACTCTTTGAAGTCCGGAGGATCCGCGAACTCCGAGCAATCTATGTGTCTGTCGAATACAGTGGACGTCGTTTTGCCATCTACAAGTGGAGTTTCGAATTCGAACTTATCTGCTAGGATAATGGCGTCTTCGACGGTACCACCGTCGGTTCGAACTTGCGATGTAGCAGAAGATTCTGCGGTGGACTCCAAACCTGCTATACAATTGGCTGCCCCAGCAGGATCTCAGGTTCCCGAAAAGGACGATATAAAGGCTGTGAAATCTGGGTCAAGAAAGGAATTAGGCACAGCGTCCAAACCCCCCCTTCTTCCTCCTCCTCCCCCTCCTCGAGCATCATGTGCTGGAAATCCACTCACTCAATCGACCTGTGACACAGTAAACTGCACGCCAATGGCAGTACCAGTTGTTAGCACATCGTCTTCCTCTCTTCAGCGTCAGCCTTCTAGTATCGATGAGAATGTCTGTGTTCCTTCTTCGGTCGAACTTTGCCGTGTTCCCAGTTTTTCCCGAATGTATCCTCTTGCCTGCTCTTTACCTGAAAGCACCACGTGCTCTGGCCAGTCCACTCCTGCTCTTACCTCTCTACCCTTGACGTCCTCTGTTTTTGGAAACGGAACAATGATTGGTGATGTAGATTCTGTATCCGGCTCTGTCATCGAGTCTGTAAACATGATGGCCCAACCTATGACGCCAATGGGATATATGACCTTACACGAATGCCATTACAGCCAACATCAACGAGCAGAAGAATTGTCTGGTCCTTGTTTACCTCCTTACTCGAACAATCAGAAATTGTGTCTGAGGGGTGATATCTCAAAGGTAGGAACAGAGGAGTACTCAGATGAGCTGCTTAAAGCAGCCACACAGGTAGTCAGTGATTACCAGCCTTTGTCCATGTTCGCAGAACTTGAACCAGAAGTTGAAGACACCGAGGGAGATGCCGGATTTTTTTATGAACCTCCACGTCTCCCAAACTCAGACATGCCTTTTCTGAACTACGATCTTATCAGTCCAAACGGCACCTCTCTACAAGCGTACAGTCCTTTGGGAGTTCGGCAAATGATCATGCCTTCTGTCAACTGCTCTACTCCTCCAAGTTATCCCAGTTCTTCTCCATTCAGAGGCGGTAGCCCACAGTCTACGCTGCGAAGAGCTGCTCAAAGTTTTGGGGGAACGCCGTCAATTTTACGGAAAAGGCCCCGGCCACTTGTATCCATCTCACGAGGGAATAAGGAAGGGGAAGCATCTGGGTTACAAGTTCGTGACTCCAATATGAGTGGAGGTTGTGTACAATCATCTGATAATGCTGCTGACATGGCCCATGATTCTGCATGTACAGTGACACCTGATCGAAATACAAGTAATGAAAATTCTTTTTTATGCCGATCATTTGGTTCGGATTCTTTGATGTCTGCCGATATATCTCCTTGTCACGCGAGACGATTTGCTTCCCCTGCCTATGATCTTACCAGCAAGAACCTGATGAAGATCAACAGACTGGAAATTGAGAATGACTTTCAGTCAGGGTCAGGATATCCCTCTCCAGGGAGCAACAGCAGTGGAGGTGCTCATACCAGGACCAAAGGCGGGGATGGTAAGAGCGGAGGATGTGTAAGTGGAATAAAGTGTAATAAGAGGGGAAGATTTCGGGCAATCAATCCGGATTATGAGTCAAAAGCCATCAAGGGAGGAGGAAATCAACCGTCTCCAAAGGTACATGGATATTCTGCCATCTGACCTCGCCACTACTGGTTTTCGCTACTCCATTTGCCACCTAGACAGACATCAGCTTGTGTGTATGTTGAAAACGTAGCTGCGTTTGTCGATATGGCTCGTTATGTCTTTCAGTTGTGTAGGTGTTGATGGCAAGCGTATGTTGTGACTTTGCAGACGCAGGATCTCCCTGTCCTAGTAGAGCAGCGTCAAAATGGTCAACAAGCTTGTTTCTCGGTAGAAGCAAGCTCCATGACATCCTGCGTTTTGATGGCTCCTGGTGCAGAAGCCTATGGTGGAGCCGGTAGTTTTGGGGGGGTCACTGGGAGATATGGATGTTGTGATTCAAAGTCCCAATATGAAGCAGGTCATGTTGGATCACATGCTGCCGTAGTTGGCTCCCAGCCGAAGGGATCCGACAAGAGGGAGAATATGGCTCTGAATTCTGTTTCTTCTTTTAATGCATGGGGCTCAGCAATAAGTCCCACGGTTTCAGGGTCAAATCATGGAGGCAAGGATTGGTTCAACGCACTCGCCGACTTCGACACTTTCAACTTGTATGTTGTTTTCTCTAACTCACCTTTAAATTGTTCTTCCTGAGCCAGTGCTTCTTGAGATTGAAGTTCAAAACTGGTTGCGGTAATTTATGTCCATTAGAGTTGCAGCTGTATCTTGTTTTCTTCTGTCATCCTTTTATCATGCTCTGCACGGTGACTTGTAAATAAAAGTAAGTGTATTGGTAAGCTTTTTTGAAGACTTCTGGCTGTTTTTCGGCAGTGCTTTGAGTGGTGATGGGAATTCTCCGTCTGCCATCTGGAGGTCACCGTGGAAGCTGGATCCTGCCGTACCGAAGGATGGTGTGATGTCTTTGCTGGAGGTTAGTACGTAATGTTTAATGCCTTTTGGTCACATGTTGATGCGGCTTTTGTTCGGCAAATACGTCTTGTTGTCTTCTTTTCAAGAGTTTGAGTTTGATTTAGTTTCCAAAGCCAAATGGTGTGGCTTACATCTTTTCCCGACCGGAGTTGATGTTTCGGGCTGTACTCTTTGACAACTTTCGTAGACTTTGATTTGTAGTCCCCACTTGGTAGTCCAGACTCTTACGTTAGTTGTATCACAGCTAATTGTCATGATGAGCAGTTCAGTTACGTACAACAGAAACCTTTACTCGGTTTACTCGTCTGAACTTGCTTTGTTAGGGTCAAGAACCTCTTTTCTAAAACTGATTTTCTAATAATTACCTCTACTTCACGCCGTCAGGGTATGGATATGCTTGTGGAAGACGGATCAGACGATGCTTTAGGGATCATGAAGCATATTAGTGAGCACGCTGCGCCTGCTTATTCTGAAGCTCAAGAGGTTTTAGCAAAATCCGTTCTTATGGAGTGCCATGGTCGCGCGGCTTCTCCGAATCCCGTTCACAGATCTCGCCAGGAAGGATCCAATGAGTACAAAGAGAATGTGAGAAGCATGAACGAGCACGTTGATAATTGCCCGTCATCACCTTTTGTCAGCTGGATTGTGGTATGTGCTATTCTCTCTGCACCTCTGGGCATTTTAGCTCAAAATCTTGAGAAGTTTTCAGGATCAAAAGAGGATTTTGCCTATCTAGAATCTGGACCCACAGAGGCTCCTAAGTAGATACAGGTTGGAATGCTGTTTATTGTCTAACCGACATATTTCAGTAGATCTTTGTTTACAACTGTCGCAGTTCTGCTGAATGTGTGTATGAGTTGTGTCTTTCTCTACTAAATTCACTGAAATTATTCTAGTAAAGTGAATTTTTTATGACCTTAGGCAAGGTCGAGTCGTTGTGCCTCAGGTTTGGAATTATGTTTGGTTGATTTTGAGCGCCAGCTCCAGTCCGGCTAGTTCAGTTGATTTTGAATCATAATTTTTTGTTTTATTTATTTATATGGGTAATGTTCGTGCAACACGAGATGATGCATGATGGTCGGGTTAAGTGTTTTGCCGTTGGGGAATTGCAGCCTTTCCCTGCAGAGATGCTGTCACCAGATGCAGCTGCCGGAGGGACCCCATTGCGAGGAAGTTCCTTGGGGCACAGCTTGCAGGTTGCCGGAGGTGTTGACGATAACCAACTGACCTTTGGAGGGGTCAGCATGGTGGATCCTTTCAGCCCTTCTTTGTATCTGCTCAGGGAATGTAGGTAGTTCGTAGTATAGAATATCTTCGGCCAGCCCCTCCATATATATTCTTTATATATGTTTGTAATGTTTTTCAAATAAGGTTTTGGTTAAGAGAAGTTGATCGACATCTGTGTAGCGGTCCCGCTTCTCGTGTTTAGGTTCTATCAGGTGAGTATGTGCTGCACTTTCTTTCCGCGAGACCTCACCCAACTGGAACAGATTGTCGCTGTCGAGAGCTCATAAGGCAGCAACGGATATGTGTGCGGAGAATAATGAGCAGTCTGTGTTTTGATCTCCCAGTTTTGTAGATGAATTTGAATCTAGTAGTATTCTTGGGGCATCCGTGCCGCTGGGGTGTATGTGTATTTTGTGCATCACCTTTCTTTCTGTTCTATCGAAAGACTTAATTTTTTGACGCTGGTAGCTGCTGGCAATTGCTACATTTCGTTTTTTTGTTTTTCCTCACTGGATCTCTTACAAGAATTGTCAGTTGTTAAAATGCATGTAATGAAGTAGCATGTTGGCACACCATAGTTGTGGGATCTGTATGCCATTCAAGAGTGTCTATCATTTTTCGCAGATGAACCACCACTATCTCTTCTGCTTTCAATTCAGAAACTCGCTTTTGTTCGTGAAGCATCCTTGACAACTGATGAACAAAACGTCTATTTGGAGTAATGAAATGGTCAATTAGATAGCTCTTCTTCCCTGGTTCCGGTTGTCGTGTTTTAAGAAACCCGCCTGCCGCGAAAACATATCGAACGAATAAGATTTGTATCAAAGTTAGCTCTTGCGACTCATACTGGTCCTTCTCTACCTTACTGGCCTTCTCGTTGTTCACACAGTTTGTCGTTCACATCACATTCATTGTGAAGATTAGAATTAAACTTCACTTGGCTAAGGCTCCGTCTTCGAGACTTTCATTTCAACCTCGTCTTGAATATACTTCAGCTTCACAATTGTGTATGAAATGAAATATTCGTCGCGATCGCCTTTTCCTCCTTGTGGATGTCCTGAATACCAAAAAGTAGATTTGAAGACTTGCACAGAAACTTACTTGAAAACTGCGTGAGAGACCCGTTGTACCAGGAAAAGCCCGGAGGAGTGAGATTAATTTTGAACCCTGTATATTCTCTCTGTCTTCGGTGCAGAGAGCGAAGTCCCAAACTCTCCCGATGTGTGGACCTTGTAACACTCGGTTTGAACTCCGATCACTGGTTAGGAGTTTTCCACTACAGCTGCGCAAGCGAAGTCTGTCTATCGCTCAACTGAATCAAATGCACTGCAAGGAAAGAAGAATCCAATTCATACACTTAAACCGTGAATGTTAGGATAGTGATCTGTGTCGGTCTAAAAGTTGAAGATATAAAGTCGCTATCCCAAAGCTAATATTCATTAGCTTTCTTGTGGGCAGGATTTCGTAGTCTGATATAAATATGGCCCCCGAGATGTTGCATATCTTGATGATCTTTCAAGGTCAACATTTTACAATCAATCTGCTGAACTTTCTCCTCAGTAATTACTTCATTTTTCAAATGCACCTGCCCAATTTGACCTTGCACCGAGTGAAGAAACCTTGGTTAACAACAACCGGCGGATGAACGCCTGGCGATAATAAGAGATTAGACTACAAAGCCCCGAACCCACATACTCGGATAACCTTCAACAGCCCGTCGCGAACATCGGGAAGAATTGAACGCATCAGTGTACAGGATCGTCTCAACTATTTCAAGCACTCGGAAGAAGAGTATGGTACTCGGACACCACATTTGGAACATCGCATCGTCCCAGCAATTCGCCGGTTCCGTGTCTAGTAGTTGATTACAGATACATGAGCTTCCGGGTCGGAAACTAGAGAAGAATCCTAGGTGGGAACATAATTCGTTGCTGTCCCATCTGCGCCCTCTTATGGCCGCCTGCAGCAGCAGCAGCAGCGGCAGCACGAGACCAGTTGCGTGCGTCGGGGGCTTGGGTGCGCAACTAAGTGACGAACGGACTGACGGCCATGTTGGAACGTCGCTGCTGGTAATGAAGGAAAGGGAGCGCAACTTGCCGATCGCGGTGCGAGGAGAGCGGAAAGGGACAAAGGGCCGACGAACGTGAAGGTGAGGGAGGAGCTTGCCATTTCGAGCTGCCGGATGGCGCGTGTCAGGCGTGAACGCAAGGGACGAAACGGCTAAACGAATCGTTTGTCGGCAGCCGCGGCGCGCGACCGTCGTCGTCCGGGACACCGACGGCAGTCGCGGGTTCGAACCGGAGGCAGGAGACCGGGCCGACTGCGGAGGAAGCCGGAACAAACGCGGTTCCCGGGAGCGGCACATTTTTCCTGCCCCGCTACGGCTCGTGCCGATGCATGACTTGCTCCCGTCCCGTTGCTCTCGCTCTCGTCGGATCGCAGTTCGAATCAGCGCCGCGCCTCCACCTCGCTTGGCGCTCACGCCTTCCAGCCCCCGAAGCCACGACCCGGCCCACGATGCACGATCGCACCACATCCATCTCCATGACCACCCCAGTCAATCGACCGCCTCCCCGCTCCCCACCCGCGCCACCAAGAATCTTTTCGAATCCCATGCCCCGCTTTTCGAACAAGCGAACCGAGCATTCTTCGGAAGACGTTGCCTCCCTCTTCTTCCTCGGCTTCTCTTTTCCTCTGTCGTAAAGCTCGCACGCACACTCTCCTTGGTTCTCTCTCTCCCTCTCTCCCTCTCGTGACTCGATTTCGGAGGCAGGTGGGGCCCTAGTCACAAAGCTTTGCAGTTCGATCTTGCGAGGCCTTTTCGGTCAATTCTCTTTTCTATTGTTTCCTCTCGATTTCTTTCTTTCAGTTTTTTTTTTATTTGCTTGGATCGTACTTCCATAAATACGAGGGACGGGGAGGCTTACCTTGCCTCGGTTCGCTCAATCGTCGTCGACGGAAGGAGGCTGCGAGATGTTCATTTCGATGCGATTTTGTTTTTGATATTCTTGTCTCCTTGCGGTTTAATAGAACGGAGAGGGAAAACTAGGAAATATGTTTAGAAACACGAGGAATCGACGTGCGTTAATGCTCTAGTTGACACCAGTACAACACTTTTCACAACAACGTCAAAGCATGTCATTATAGACAATATTCGACATGCATCATTCCATCGGCTCACATGCAACGAACTTGCCACACACAGGCCAAGAATTTCCATCGGCAGAAAGAAGCAAACATGATTTCTTAAGCATGATAGAGTTTAGCAGGCAGGTGTGGATGGGTACCATGTCTTGTTGAGGTTTCCATTCGGAGGTTTTGAAGCCTTTTGGGTACCTCAATCCCGTAGGCAATGAATGAGCCAAATTTTATTTCATTATATTATAACCGGGTTAGAGATAATTCCTCGGGCCAGACATATATTTGGACGGTGCGTACGGCTGTGAGACCGCACTCCGCAGTCTCAAGGATCTGAACACTGACCACACTGCAAGCTCCAGGATCAGCGCGAGTATGACCATAATGCCGTCTCCAAGATTAAACCGGACGAATCTACTAAGTCGAGTAAGATGAGGAGGTTCAACGCCCAATGCTACTGCGGTAGAGAATTGTGAGATGCAGAGCTCTTTCCCTGTGGACGCAATATTGGTAAGACTACGAGCAGCAGCGGGCGTATGTGAGAATATGCGTATGAGACAATACGAAGCCTGTCAATCAGCACCATTGCGTACGGTCAGTCCAGAAGATCAACCTTGGAAAGTAACTGAAGTGACAAGAGAGCTTGGATAAATCAGAGGCCGATTTTGGATGATGGATGCAAGCCAGTACAGGTTCATGTCCATGTCGACTTGCGAACTAACGTCCGTGGCGGGCACATTTTGCAGGAATCAAAGGAGACTGAGATCTGCTGGCAGTTGACAGTTGAAAAAGTTAATGAAAAGCAAAGTAATGGCAACGGACGGGGAGAGGAGGGGAGGAGAGGGAGGGGGGAGGCTAGTGACGAGAGTGAGGGCGAGAGGGAGGGCAGGCCAGTCCAGTGGAGTGGCAACCCCACCCCACCCCACTCCACTCCAGCCCACATCAATCAATCAATCAATCAAATGAGAGAGAGAGAGAGAGAGAGCGAGCGCGCAAGTCAGTCATGTCATGCCGTGTGCGACGGGCAGCTGAATTCCAGGAGCACAAAGATCCAGATCTCTAAAATAGAACAATGCCACTGAGCCTTGTCTCCTAGTTCTTCGGCCTGCTCAAAGAGCCAACTGTAGTGTGCGTTAATCTATGCTCACCCCTTCCAAGGGCATTCCCAGATCTCTCGATCCTGACTGCAGAGGCCCGGAGGTCTCTTACTAAGCCGGACACTAACTACGAGAGAGGAGAAGAGAAGGGAAGGAAGGGGAAACAGTCGAGGAAATTCTCGAGGCCGCCAACTCAGAACCGTACGCGACAGTTTCGCGTCCTACGCCTCGGCTCGTTGCATCCTATCGAGCCATTTTCCGAGAAGGCTTCTTCTTCTTGTCCTCTCACCTTTCTTTCAGTCAGTTGTGTCCAGTCCAGCGAAAGATTCAAAGACCAGGTGGAATCAATGCAGCACTGATCTGAGCACAGCAATTACTTTTTGTTGTTGTTGTCGCTGTTGTCGCTGTCGACGCCTTCGTGATGCTGAGGAGGAGTTATCATTTCCGACTTTGACGATTTCCATTTTGGTATGTACGTCAGTCAGGCCTCAGAAGAAGCAAGATCTTGGACCAGTCGGTCCGTCAGTTGGTTTTTCTTCGGTGTCTGTCTTTGGCTGATCATGGTTCTTGAGTTGCAAAATCGCCGGCAAAATTATGATCGTCGCCGTTGAGTCAAGGCTGCTAGCTGAGACGATCGTAGACGTCCAGTTCATTCGTGCTCATTGCCTCTCATGAGTGGGGGAGCATGCCGTCGTGCTCGGCTGCCTGATGACTGGAGCTGAATCCTACTTTAGGAGCTACCTGTCTATCCGAATCAGACTCACATTCTCAGCTAAAGCGTTCAGGTTGTAGTCGTAGAGTCTGCGTCTCCACTTCTGTGGTGTCAATGTCCTGTCCAATTCCGCTCTATCCCCTCTCATCATGGCCGCAAATGACAACAGTACGTTGCCCAAGATGTGCACACGTCTTCCGAGGTCAGATCTTTCCGGTCGTCAATACTGCGAGCTGTAGCTTTGCCATCGCAGGTTCAGTTGACTTACGACATTGCAGAATTCCGAGGCACCCTCCGAGAGATCTGGACACTTGATCCACTCCCTGGACTCCTGGACTCGTGTGTAGTCGAGATGTCTCAGAGCCTCGTTCTATCAGTCTCATTCCGATTCTTTCTCATTACTGCTCTGATTAAGTCGGACATGGACTCCGATGAATCTGTCGAGAGAACACCGTCGCTAACAACAGCGGTCGAAAAATGAGGAAACTTTGTCTTGGCGCCGCCGGACGGAGCTTCGGTCTCACGACGTTAAAATTCGAATTATTAACATAGTCTCGTTCTCCATATTCGATCGGTCATATATGGGAGCTGATTCAAGTCCAGTTGAGAGCAATTTTCCTCGTCATTCTTAGAAATCGGTGTCTGAAGGCTATTTCCCTGTGATGCCCTTGCCAAAATGGTGGTCGAGTCTGGATCCGTCGGCACGTTTAAGTCTGAATCGCGTCACTTGACGTGCAATTCGCATAATCGTCGTCTAGACTGATCATTTCGACAATTGGGTGGCGTCATGCAGGACATAGCATCTGCTTCGACGATTTCGATAGGAGTGACTGCGTGCAGGCTTGGGACGAGGATCTTCAGTTGCTGAACGGAAGGGCAGCGTACACGTTCACAGGGAGGAGGCACATCAGTCAAATTCTGCTTGTGCACATTGCTCTGATTGCAAGAGCCGACTTGTATATGTAAGAAATCTACGCTCGCTCAATGTTGGCCATCGGAAGACAGGTTCAGCCGATTTAGAGAGCGTCGCGCACGAAAGGGAGGTTTAAAAGTGGCGAATTTCGATTCCAAGCAAACGATCGTGCTCGAATGACTGCGAACGAGAAATAAGCTCCTCTCGACGCACGGGCCTAGGCTTGCACAGAACCACGCGTAGAACGTGCAGTTTCTCGACGTCGTGGCTCGCCCGTAGCTCTCAATTGAATTGTCAATTTATTGTTGGTTTATTCATTCTCTAAACCTGTAAAGCCTTGTTAAAATGTCTAACGAGTAAGGATCCTGGACGACTGCAGATCAAGGTTTGGAACGATGCGGCTTCCATCGCTGTCGACGGGGTTTCTCGTATTCCTCCTCGCGAGCATCGCTTTCACCGGAGGTGAAGCCAGGCTCGGGCCCCGGAGCAGCGGCGAAGATGGAACGGCCATGAGTATGTGGCGGCAGCATCAGCGGAGACGGATGCTAGAGGACCAAGGAGTGAGCACCGAGGAGCAAAAGAAGCAGGATGAAAAACCCGATGCCGAGGTCACGAACAGTAATAACAACAATAACAATAACAACAACAACAATGACGGCGGAGGCCCCGTGGAGCAGAAGAAGGACGAGCCGAAGCCCGAGGTGGTGGTGGCTGCGGTGGACGATCAGAAGAAGGCCGAGGTCGTCGAGCCCAAGGCAGAGGACAAAAAAGACGAAGAGAAGAACACGGCCGTCCCCCCCGAGCGCAAGCCGGAGGACGGCGGCCTGTCGTCCGGGGCTGTCAAGGGCGACGACGAGCGCAAAGAGGAGGCCTCCAAGCGCGAGGAGCAGCTGCTCAAAGAGGCTCTGGTTCTCGAGCGCGAGGAGAATCGCGTCCAACAGGAGAAGACGGACCAGGCAACCGCCGATGGCCAACAACAACAACAACAGCACCAACAACAGCAGCAGCAGAATTCCGTCGATCCGGTGGCCAAACCTTCTCCCGCTCCGCAGTCCCCGAGCCCCCCATCCGACGACCGATCGCAGCAGCCGCAGGTCGATTCGAAGGCCGAGGTGAAAGCAGAGGTGAAGGTCGAGGCGCAGGAAGAGAAGAAGGAGATCGAGAAATCTGAGCCCCGCGTGCCCGCGCAGGAGGTCGAGGAGGCGTCGAAGCCGTCGGAGCAGAAGACAGCGGAGCACGAGCCCCAGGAGGAGGAGGAGAAGAAGAAGATCGAGCCCGAGCCGGAAGTGGCGAAGGTGGACGAGGAGAATTCGTCGTCGCAGGAGCAGGAGCAGGAGCGGAAGGACGGAGAAGGAGGCAAATCGGAGGAGGATGCGGCCGAGGCGATGGTGGACTCAGCCGACCCGGACGACGACTACCCGGACTTCCTGGACGAGTTTCTGCGGTTCCCGGAGCGGCTGCAGGAGTCGGCCGAGCATTTGAAAACGAACGTCCGGCCGGACTGGGACCGCCTGTCGACCAACGGCAAGGACCTGTTCAACCAGGCGAACGAGCAGATCAAGGAGAGCTTCACGCCGCTGATCGGCCGCGACTACGCGCCCGTTGTGGCCTACCTGGTGTCGTACGGGCTCTTGCTGCTGCCGTTGGGCCTGGTCATGTTCCTGTTCGAGCGCGTGCGCGCCATCTTCTCGCTGCAGAAGGTGCTGCTCTTCATCAACATCTACGTCGCGGCCTACTTCGCGGCGCTGGTGGCCGCCGCCTTCGTGCTCGGCAGCGAGCCCATGGATTTCTTCCGCAATTTCTCGCCCTCGAGCTACATCTTCCTGCAGCTGCTGCAGGCCTTCGGCTACATCATGTTCATCATCCTGCAGACCTTCGATCTGATCACCACCTGCTCGTCGGGCCGCATCGCCGCCAAGCTCTCGGCCGCGCTGCAGTGGGTGGTTGTGGTGGCCGTGGGCTTCCACTACTATGTCACCGTGTTCCACCGCGCCATGGCCAAGGCCAAGCCTCTGACCAGCTGGAAGATCTACGGGCTCTACAGCGCCTCGTTCACCATTCTGTGCGCCTTCGCGCGCATCGAGCGCGGCAAGAAGCAGTACATCATCCAGGAGAGCGGCCAGGAGACCACCAAGCAGAACTGATCCCCGCCCCCGGCTCGTGCTCGCATTCTCCACTTCTCAATTTCTCCCTCTCCTCCTCCTCCTCCTCCTCCCCCACTCGTTCCCTCGAGCTGCTTGGCAAGAATTGTCAGTCCGATGGCGGTGAGATCCTGGAGGAAGATGATGGTGATGATGATCTTCTCAAATTTCGGGTCCTCCCTCGGCTGCACGCGAGAATGCTGTTTCCCTGCTCTCGACATTCTTCGCGAGGTTGACTGAATGACTCCGTTTCCACCCATTTATCGTCCATCATCCGTCTTCAAGCTGCAGGAGGCTGGCTGACGGGCAGAAGTTAGTACTCCAGACTCGGAGATGAAGGACTGACTGGTGTCCACGACCGTAGGCTTCTTGTACGTGGTGGAATCGGGGAGCCAACCCTGTTCCGCTCTCTCTGTAAGTAGAGTAGACTCTGTTCCAGCCGTGGCACCGGAGAGAATGAATTGTGCGGCGCATTTGTACAAGTAATATGGCCCATTGCAAGACCGAAGGCTTCTTCTCACGGGTACAAGGAGAACCTCTGAATTACTCCCAGCAAGCAAAGCAAACGAACGAAACGAACTGATTTGCAGCAGCAGCAGCAGGTGACCGTGATGGCTGCGGTGACCCTACCTTACTCCCTTTGGTGGAGTCATCGGTCTGCACGGCAAGCAAGTGAGAGTAGCTCAGAGTGTATGAGTTTTTGATCTGGTTGACCGATTAGTCGATTGGAACAACTCCGGATTAGCTAGCTAGCCAGCACAAACACCATTTGTAAGCATCGATCACTTGAATAATTCATTGATGTGATAATTCTTTTATCTTCTACCGAACGGGGTCGCGGAGGTCCCTGTTTGGCTTCTCCATCTGCTTCCTCGTCGGAAAGTCACCGGTGGCTGACATTTGGGGTCAACCGATGAATGAATGGACTTGCATCGGGGGTCGGGTTTTGCCTGAAAGAGCTCTGCCGTGTCGCTCTGGATTCTAGATGCAGCCATGAATTACTCTGTCGCCTCACAGTCCGGGGATGTACACCCTTCGATCCCCCTCACAGGGCTCAAGTTGCTCGGTCTCGAGGGTGTCAAATTTCCAATCCTTGCAGCATGAGTGGTAGCGTTTACGAAACACTGTCAACCATGAGGCACCAAGACCTTCCTGCAAGATTATTTGGGCAGAACGGAAGATCGGACCGAGGACGGCCAAACGGGACCGTCGAAACCACGATCGCAGTCCTAGCCAACCGAAACGCAGGAAAGCTCTTGGAACTTTTGAGAGACAAGGAAAGCGCAGACCTCCATAAACAGAACGAACCGAACTCTATGAGAATGCGCCATGGCCCTTCTCAGACCGAGAAAATGCTCTGCTCGGACCATCCATCCCATTCACGCATGTCCTTCTTCCTTCTGGATTGGGCTCTGTCCTCTCTTTTCGCGGCCGTCTTCATGATGCACCGACGAAACACATTGGGACTGACTCTTTCGACCGATCACAAGACCACAGCGAACAGAGGAGTTCGGAGTCGCAGATCTGGACCGCTTGTGAGCACATGTTTGCAGCAGCAGCACCCGCGAGTCCAATCGATGAGGTGGAGGTGAGAGTGCCAGAATGGATCGGGAAACATTTCGTATGGACCATGCATTGTGAACGTAAGATCGACAAACTTGTTCCTCCCCATGCGACTGTTCCCACTCGCTACCAGGGCTGGAGAAAGGTGGCTTCAATTCATCTATCATCTTTCGCTGTGCTGTGATTTTCTAAAGTTCTGGAAACAAACTTTCTTCGACATCCTGTCCGAAGTGCTGGGCCTCCTGTGCTCGTTGATTCTAAAGCCACGGAGATGAGAGTTCCCAGAGTGGAGCACATGTGGATCCCCAATGAGGATGGCTTCCACGCGAGCTTGCAATGCGGTCTTGAGCGCCCTCAACGATAGACACATGCATCTTGCTCTTCTTGCTCGGCAAGTGCAGGGCTCAACCTGCGAGAAGAGAGAATTACTCCTAAACTGATCGAACATGCATGAGAGCGAGCACGCGTAACTCGAACTCTGTTCAGAGCTGTCGACATCGCGGGCGGAGCGGGGAACGGGAAGAATGTCCATGGATTTCCCTCGCGACTGCTTTACACATACAAGTTTGCTGCTATGCTGGTCCGACAAGCGACATTGACTCGAATTTTGTACTCAACACACGGCTGATTGGATTCCTCGATTTAAATTGGTGTACTCAAAATGCACATTTACAATTCGCCAATCAGCAAGACTGCAGGTCAATGTAGCATCCACCCAAAGGAGCCAAGTATAGGAGACATCTACTTTGGAGAAAGGAAGTCCACAGACAACTTGGGCAGCGATGGCGAAAGAAGTTCATACACAGGAACCCGCAGGTTCGGACAGATCTGACCTGAACTGACCATTATGAGTCCTGCTTCTTATCCGTTCCCAAGCTTTGCCACGAATACGCATTCGATCGCATTGCTAACACCGGGATGGTTCATCCATTTGAACAAAGGGGTTTTTTGCAATTGAACATTTCTCTCGTTTATGTCGAGCAAAAGAATAGATTTCAGTGAGTCTTTCGCAGCCTCGACAGTAAGCAAGCAAGGCCGACGGACAACTTTTGCATGAAGGAAGAGTTCGAGTGCAGGATTCCATTCGAAACTCTTGGGACAATCCCTGGCGCGGTGTTGCAAATGCAGCGGTTCATCGCTGTTCCCGAGTGGATGGACGGCTTTCGACCCGGAATTCTGCAACATCTTCTAACTTTGTGTCATCACGACTCGACTCAATGTGTCATCACAGCTATGGACATACTGAAATCTCTAAGATTCCGGGATACCACTTCACGTCGTTCCCATTCCGCCATCCAGTCCCTCCCCTCTCTCTCTCTCTGAGGGCGATCTGTCAACGATCGGGAGTGGCGTCCTGCCGAAGCTGTTGCTCCTTGAGAGCAAGCAAATGTTGGTCTCGGATGACACCCTGATGCAAAGCTTGACGCTCCAGCTTCTGCTCTCGATGCACTTCGAAAATGCCCGCCCCTGTTCCCACCGCTACCACTCCGAAGAATAGCAGGGCTAAGATTCTTGTCCTCGAGCCCATGGCTGGCTCCAAATTCAAAGTTCCAAGCCCGCAGTCCAGACCGCTCCCACCGCAAAATCTCTCTCCGACGGTACGGGTCTGAACTCTGGCCTCGTTCTGTCTCGGAGGTGGTGCAGTCGATGGACGACGTACGCACACGGTATAAAACACGACGATGCAATGGCTCGGCTCGGGCTCGGGCTTTTACGAGTCGGTTTCAGGGTTTGGTTCTTAATTAGGCTTAATTTGTCAGCAGCGTGACCACAGTGCGCAGTTGACCTGCTGCCGGCAGCTAGGCTCGCTTTCTCGACCGTCTGTTTCACACACGGGCCGGGCAACTACTCTTCTCCTTTCGATGTGCGTATGTCTCTCGCTCTCTCTCTCTCTTGGAAAATTTGTTCGGAGATTAGGGAACTACTCGATCGGCCATTTTTGGATCAGGTGAGATCTCGGCGAGGTCTTCATCAATCCCTTGCTGGGGCTAAAAAACTTATTTCTGATTAATATTCTGGCGGAACATGACGAACGCCAAGCGCAGCGGACGAGCAGCAGCAGCAACAGCAGGAGGAGGGGTTAGATTTGCGCATGAAGCGTGTTTGGACAAATGGAGGAAGACGAATGATGTGAGGTTTCGGTTCCTCGCCCCTCCTCTCGTCTCTTGTTTGTTGCCTGGCTGTCGAGCTAGACCGTCGATCTTGAATAGGCGTTCGCTTATTTCATCGTAGCTTTCCCGAGGAGGCCGTAGTGGGTTTAGATACGCATCCATGCAGAACATCGAGACTGAGCCTCAGGCACTGGCGAATTGATCACTATAACTTTCCTTATTCTTGGAGCTTGGCTTCTCTGCCGCTTGAGAAAGTCGCTATTGTCACTCATGGAATGGATCGGAGAAAGATTAAGGGAAAGCGAACTGAGCGGTAGAATCAGTGACTCATCGAGTTTCTTGATTGACGCACAAAATCCTCCAGGAATTGCAGGCGTGTGTGTTTCATTCAAGAAAACTTTAAACTTCGTTTGAAACCTTGACAGTGTTTGGGTTGCTCGATCTTGCATCGGGATGCCAAGTCGTTATCAGCTCCTCCCAGCAGCAGAATGCCATAACGTATTACCTATGATGATGGACGCAAGAATGCCCCCTTGAATTAGGTTGTGAATCGAAGGGGGTAATTGAAGAAAATTCGAAGATGGCAACTGAGAATCAATCTCGCTGAAATCATAGGAATCACCTGCGGCATGAAGCGCTCGGAAGGTTGCCAGATGCGCCTCGAGTTAAACCGGCCTTGCTGTGGCATTGTCTCCGAAGACGGGAACTTCATGAATCGCACTGATGTGTATGTTTGCCGAGATTGTTGGCTTCGATCGAGGATTTTCGATGGCCGACTGTTGAGGCTAGATGCAGTGCAACGTGGTGCATGCAACCTCGTTGGGAGGTTGCCAAGGACAGTAGCCAAGGGTAGGCCAACATTTGAGGAGCAACTGCTGTAACTCACAGTTTCCGTGCTTGGTTGAACAGGTGATCGCGCAAATTGCCGTCAATGCAAACGACGCTATCAAATGTTTGAAAGACGAGAACAGCGTTATCGTCACGGGACCCCCTTATCCACAGGTTGTGGTGGTTTCAGAAGGTTTTTGCGGTTGTTCGGTTCCAGCGAGATAGTTTCACCATCAAACAATCCAGCATCACTCACTGGATTGCATCTCTTCACGAGTGGTTACTTTCCATGCGTCTTGTTGAGCTCAAGCGCCCGTGGTTTCCTCCCTCCCTCCTAGTTATTGGCCCTGATACTCTTCGATTTTATACCAATGCAGACAACGGAATCCAAGAAGAAGGTTGCGGTTAAGAGAGCCCTGAACAGATTAGGGCGAGTGGTTAATGACTTGTCCACCATCGAGTTTTATGTAAGAGTTGAGATTTGTACTTGGAGATGCAAGTTCCAAGCTTGACTTTCGTGCTAATGGGCTGCGTGTCGCGGCATTGATTGCACATCGGCATGGAATTTTTGAATTACAACGGCTTGAAATCCTGCAGACCTCAGATTTACAGGAAGAACAACACAACGTGCGAAGGAAGCTCGAAGCATCTGAGACGGCCTATGTACAGTTCGATTCTGACACTGAATTCCTCTTCTCCTTGGCCTAACCAATGTTCAATCAGTTAACAATGAAAGGGAAAACGGCCTATTGACCGTGTACTGTAGTAGGCATGTACTCATTCGAGGCTTTCTCCAAACAATCTGGACGAATGTCACTGAGTTTTCAACGCTATGCATCAATATGTGGGAAGCCTTCCTGCACTTGAACTTGACAAAGCGTTGCGCACTATGCTCTTTACCAGAGAGAGTTGGAAGAGACTGCGAGCAATATGCGAGAGGAATTGGAAACTTGTCGTGCTAAGATAAAGGTATATTTGTGGAACTAGCATGTGCGGTCCTTTCCAGGAAGTGGAATTCTGCCTTCTCACTTTGTGGTTGCTATTACGTGCTAAATCTCAAGCTAGAAGATAGAAACTTTGGATTGGACGACCCAAATGTGTTTTTTGCTTAGGATTTTTACCTCCTCGTCGGGTTCAATTACGGGTCGCCCCCCTCTGTCTTGCATATATATGTTTCTCAACCGCATACCTTCCTAGTCTTGATCAGGGAACAGTCTTTGTCCATATTGCAATCACTTAGGTATGCTGATGGGCAGAGGAGGTACTACTGTGTATCGTTTCTGATGGAAACTGAACTCTGAAATGATCTAGTCTTAGTATTTAGGGAAGTTTTTTTTGTGGTAAGAAACTGTCCCTTACTATGATAAATGTCTTCATAACTACGAATGACTTCCACTCTGTGGAAACAGTTGCAAGCTTTGGTTTTGTGCGGATTTACTAACATTGGTACTGGTTTTGTCAGGAATCAATTACTCGTTTAGTCCAGGAGGAAGAGCGAGTGAAAACTCTGTCCCGGGAACTTGAAACAGCTAGATTATCTGCCGAGCTTGCTACCAAAGACAGGATGTTATTACAGGAGGTAGGATTGACATGTGGACTAGACATCGACCTGATGTTCAGAACAATGTTCAGATTTATAACGTGAACTTCGTATCGTTACTACTTATTTGATGCATCTTGCCTGTCTCCTTGAAGCGCATGCGATCCAGGGATGGTGACAGAGGGACAAAAGCTCTCTCGGAGGAAATGCTCCAACTAGCTGCCAAGGAGGAGAGCTTAAGGTTTGTCGGGTTCGCAACTCTTTTGTTGCTGGTTCTTAGACCAGATATACGTGTACATTTACGTTATTTTATGATCATTACTGCATTTAGGGTACAACTAAATAACATTCAAGGTTAGTACTGAAGAAGATGTTGTTTTGCGCGCGGAAAGCAAGTAACATTGCAAAGAATGAAATTTCGAGCGAACAAAATAAATAATACAGCAAATGTTTAGTTGAGATGTAAATGGTACTCCAGAGCAGAAAATGAAAGGCTGAAGAAGGAGAACATGACAGCTATTAAAGAGAAGGAGACACGAACAAACAGTCTTAAAATTGCTACAATTGCAGTTGCGAACGTTGAGCGCTACAAAGAGGTGGGATAACGATCTAAGACATTATTCAACTCTAATCGAGTAGAGACAGGGTGGATTTTTGGTTCTCATTTCCTTCTTGGTTCGTCCTTTACATTTTCGTAAATGATGAACGGAGAAAGAAAAGATAACCAAAGAGCTGAGAAAGGTGGCCGATAGCCCCATTCGTATGTGTGCCTTTCTTCCTGTTAGTTATCGTATCACTCTTAGCCATGGCTGCAGATTCTATGGTCTTCAGGCCATAACAGGCATACAGTAAATTGATACTAAGTATATTTTCAACCGACAAACCTCACACACCGATTTTATGATCGCGTATGGGAGATGACCCTTTTATAGTAGAAACTTCAACCTTCTTAGATGACAGAAACTTCAATCGGACTTCAAGAATATTGCTCACCATGTAGTCGATTGGGCATGAGAACGATACACTAGCATGATCTCTTCCTTATAATCGTGATTTACAATCACCGAATGCCCACAATCGTGTATAAAGAGTCTATTTACTTTGTCTAGGATTGAGCTTCAATCATTTCTCTTTTTACTCTTTGTAACTTTATCAGAGAAAAAATAATTGTATTGATTTTAACGAGAAAAGGAATCTCAGCAAGCAAGACGATAACGCCCCTGTTAGTGCAAAAGTTGTGTGGTGCTGGTCCTGATTGAACTGAATAACTTCTTGCTTTCACAGTCAAATTCGTGGACCAAGATAGCGTTGACAGCGCTGGCGATAAATCTTTCCTTTCTTGCAGGTTATAGCGAAAGTGACGGCGGACAACATGGTATTTTTGATGAAGGTGTTTATTTGGAAATCATTCCACCAGTTCAATTTGGTCCATTTGAGAGAGTCAGTTTAAACGTGAAAACAGGCTGAATTCTACCTCGCTGCTTGTTTTGTTAATGATGGAAACTTATCTGAAATATTCCAAACTTTTGTTAAAAGTGAAATCTTCATGAAAATAGGAAGTCTAGTTAGAAACCTAAAATGCCAAGTTCTTGGCAGTTGATGTACTTTTGCTCTGTGAAAAGTTACTCTCGGAGAACCCAGGTTCTTGAAGCGGTTGTGACTTCGTATTCTCACCTAAGGACTTGAGATGTTGTAGTGAAAACGGTCAGTGTGGTTTGGAAAGCATTAGGTACTCGAGGGACGATTGTGTAGTAAACGTTAATTTCTCGCGTTTGGAAATTATCCTTACAGTCTTTATGTACTCTTGTTTCAGTTTTTAGTGTACTATTTGATCGTTCGAATTGTTCAGTTATCGTAAGCAATCTAGTTAGCAATTCACTGTATGAACAGCTTACTTCTCTCATTGGACTTATGGTTGGTTGTGGTGAGTTCCTTATTTTTTATCCCTTGAACTAGACTTTCTCTTCATAGTTGATGACATGCTGAATATTTCCAGTTAAAGCAGAGTGAGGCGGCCCTGAATGCAGCACAATCAAGACTACAAGAGCTTCAAAAGGAAGTAAGTAATTCTGATTTCATGTCACAGTGATGCAATTCCTAGAAAAGTCGGGACGGAATGTATACTGCTAACTAAATAGTTTCAAAGATGAATTCTGAGCAAAAAATGCTCACATTTCTCTCTAACTCAACGTGAAGATTCGTGAACGTTGTCTGACACGGGGTATCCAGGTAGATATGAGCAGGGGACAATGGCTTGAGGAGGCATCTGCAGAGGTGCAGGAGATTATCTTGGATAGCTTGATGAAGGTAATCAGCCTGTTGGTTGATGTTGTTTAAAGTGACCGAATATTTGCAAACAACTCAAGTAGCACACATTTGGAACAAAGGGCTGATTTTGATTTAACCGGTTTGACGTTGAATCATATCAACTCACACGGTTGTCCTCGTTCCTCCTTAATTTTACTCACTTGACATTACATAATTCAGCACAGTCATATTGGTTGTTGATAGGCTGAAGCATGTGAGTCGAAGCTACGAGAACTTGAATTACAGAGAGGAAACAATGTACAAGAATGGGAAGAGAAGTTAATAACAGCACATGAGAAACTGTCTCAAGTCATCACCAGCCGAGACTGGCACGAACGAAGTTTTGTTGAAGTTTCAGAGAAGTAAGTCACCCTTGTACCAAAAAAATCTTCTTGTGTTTCAGATCGTGAGTCGGTAGGCAATGAGATCATGCTGAAAGTCACTAGTTTAGAATCTAAGTTGGGGCTTGACCTCGTCCCCACTTGAACTGAGTCTGCAGATGTTTTTCCATGATGAGTGTTGGAATGAGTGTTTCTACCGTGGAATTACCACAGGCATTTCGGACGAAATTACCGACGAGGGATCTTGGTGATACCGTCCGGAAAAAGCCAATGTGTATAAATAGCAATTGTTTCTTACATCATTAGATAGACGAGATATCTTTGCTTCCAGAGATATTGAGCAGACGCAACCCCTGCAAATGTCTCTTACATCATTCTAGCTTACATTTGTAGGATGATAAGAACCGTTCTTGCAATGTAGTTTGAGATAAGAGAGAAAATACAGCTTTGCTTGCAGAGTTCACGCATCCCCTTCAGTAAGAGAAGCAACATGAAGATAATGTAGATAATGACTGGGTAGCTAGTAAACCACGACAGTCTTTCCACTCACAGATCCTATCAGTGGATTCGTATGAAAGCTTTTCTTCGCAGGAACTATCTTTCCAAATAGTTTTTATCCAATTGGAGTGTTTTTTGTTTGCGTAAGAACAAAATGTCGAATTCAGTCACGCCACGATAAATGAAGGATACTGCTTCAACTACGATTTACCCTTTTGCTTTCGTTAGAGCGGATCCTCGGCGACTAGAAGTGGAAGGCATCAAGGAAGTTCAGTCAACAGGTTACTATGATGGATCACTATCACTGATGTTCTCACTTGCAATGTCGCCAACTATTCCAGCACAGGTATAAGATCTTAGAGGATGAGAAATTCAAGTTGCAACAAAAATTTGAAAATGAGTGTCGTCATCGTCAACATGCTGAAGCAGAGTCAAGAGGTTTAATGTGCACACTTCGAGAAACGAATGATCAGGTATATTACTGAGGAAAATCTTCATCGGAAGTCGCAGTAGTTTCTAAGAGCATTCTTATCACACGTTCAAATCCGTATTGGATTATTTTCATTCTTAAAACGTCAATTTTATAGTTCTCACTTTTCTCTTTAGCCTCGGAGTAAGACTCAAGACTTCGAACCTCCATTATACTTGTATATAAGTACTATGTTCAAGTAGCCAAAGCAGATGTAGAAACGAAGGAAGCAACACACGTGATCTTGTTTCTGTTATTTACGACGAGGAATGGTTTTATCGTGCGTAATCACAATGACAGTAAACAGCTTCACGATGATCCAAATTAGGAACTGCTCGCATTCTGCTTCTATGGTGTTTTTCTGCATGGATCCTTGTTCAAAACCATTACTATTGCTCGTGATACCACAAAACTTTCTACTCTAACAAACGCACCCTGTATTGGAGAGAGAGGATTAGAGGGAGACAAAAAAATATTCTAAAAAGACATATTGGTTGCTAGGATATATTTCACTTGGATGGTCTAACTCTTTAGAGTGAAAGTCTGGTGCTCGTTGGACATTCTCTCACCCTCGAGTCATGTATAGGTTTACAATTTCTATTAACAGTGACTCAGTTCCATGTACATCACACAATATAATATGTGCAGCTTGCGAGCGTGGGCTCCGAGTTAGCAGCAGCTCTCAAAGATATTGAGGTTCGTGAAGTTTTATACTCCACACATGCATTGTATATTATAAGTAGGAGTTTTGTGCTCCACGTTAGCGGGAGAGAGGTGGGGAATCATATTTGGTCATAGATGTTCTTTTTCTGCCTTTAGAGTCACGCGAAGTCATGACTTGACTACAGAGTTAGGTCATTCCTGCATTCTAGTTATTCCTGGCTCTGCAATAGCCCATGTGGATTAATTGCAGCCTCGTGTCTTAGCTAGAGACAACTGTATAAGAAGTCCAAATGGATCAAGAAAGATCTCCTGGACCATATACCGTAGCTTGGCTTGCAGTTTTAGCGTCAATTTCTGTTGTCTTTTTATGTTTTGCTTTCAGCTTCGGTTTGTACCTACACATTCATTAAACATGGTTTCTTCTTTACAGATTCAGAAGCAACATGTATTTGATAAAGATCAAGAGATAATTAAATTGCTGACACAACTTGAGAAGGCAAATACTCAACTGGAGACCCAGCTCAAAGTAAATGGAGCGCTAATGAAGAAAAAAGAAGCCGTAAGTTAGCTCGTACTCTTACTCCACCAGGAGTGTCACAAGATAGTTTGTGTCGATCAGTCTTGTGATAATATTAATTTTGTATATTCATAAATCCATATGTCATGCATCATTGTCAGTTTCGGCAATTTCTATGGTAGAACAATCACCCATAAGTCTGGCCTATTCATCATAATGTCTAAACTTTGTAGAAGACGTGAAGCTCTTTTATAGGCACGGGTATGTTGTAAGCCTTGGACGAGGTCTAATTTTAACGAACTGGACTGTAGGTGGAGTGGGAGTTGATGGAAGCCCAAGCCCAAAGGGTCAAATGGCAGGAGGGTTTTCAATAGAGCTTATTCAACCATGATGATGTGATGAGATCATCAAAGTAAAATACGTCATGGAAATCAGGTCTTGCACTCAATTGTAACTTTCAATTACACTAATTCCATGGACTTTATGCAGATCCATTGAATAATCATACTTGATCTCAAGAGGAATATGGATGAAATTAATTTATCAAGTGATGAGTATTCTGGATCCTATGTACTAAGTAATGTGAATAAGTTTTATCTAATACTGAACCAATTCAATAACGATGGAAAACTAGAATTGATGACGGTTCTATGAACAATTACACCTTGAGTCATACTTACATTTTATGTGACAATATATCATTCTTGTCCCTTACGATTCGGGAAACTTTTAGCGAAAGAAGCTAGCACGGACGATGATATTCTTTTCTTTAAATCACTTTGTCATTTTACTTATTACATGATTCTTAAACACACTCGTAGTCCAGTACTATCAAGTCATTGCCGCTGTTCAAATTCGTGAAAAGAGTTACGAATAGAATGTTAAAGTGAAAGGTGCCGAAGAGAGGTATGTAGACAAATATGAAGGAAAACAGCTGAGGGGAAAAGTAAAGACTGCTCAGCGTTATCCAAAACTTAGTCGTTCGCTATGAGTTCCTCGTCCTCACGAACTGAGTCAGATAGAGTTGAGCAATTGCAGCATCTAGCTAGGGCAGAACTGTCAGCAACAACGATCGCAAAGGCTCCATCTAGTCACCTATGGGAAGCGTCTAGACCGAAATAAAGCACAAATTGTCGGTTTCCGAGCTATATTCAATTTTGCTATACCCTCTCCGGTTCGCTCCGAGCAGCTATTTTGCTTGCTTCATTGCTTCTTGCCATGCCGCCTTTGTTGTGTGTCAACCCTGCCACAGTTCAGGTCTAGAGTGGATTGCTTGACAACCAAGTAGCGAAAAAATCCAAGCCTTTCCTTGAAGCCGAGTTGCGATATCATTGAAAAAAAAAAGATATAATTTGTTTCCTATCACAAAGTTGTGAAAAGTCTCATGTATTTAATGGGGTGCACAAGATCTGATATAGTTTTAATGACGTTTTAGGTAAATAAATATATGTCAAATCCAAGAAAGATTCATTGGTAAATGGTGAAATGCATTCTCAAATATTTGAAGAATGTTGAGAATAATAATTTCTTATTTGATGGTTTATTAGACAATGACAAATTTTTGCTGGGCTGTGTTGATGATGCCTAGAAACAAAATTTGAATTAGAGACAATATATAACTTGGTATGTATATAAACTTGGTAGTAAATGCATTACTTGGAGATCTATCTTAGAGAAGTGCAAAGCTCAATCTACAACGGAAATTAAGTATGTAGTAATAATAGAAGTAGCAAATGAAACTATTTGATTAAATAATTTTCTCATTGAGATAGTATTGAAACATGATATTCTCAATTTTCATTACGATAATCAAAATGCATTACGTTTTGTTGTAAATCAAATGATGGACAGTACACATCAACATCATATATCGTTTTATCACGCATGCAATTTTTGTTATAAAGATTAAACTAGTCAAGATTGACGATACACTCAATCAAACTAATGCATTGACCAAAGTTATTCCTATGAGAAAATTAGATGACATTATGTTACTATGTAAGTTTTGAACGATGAGTAAAATTTACCAGTTATTATTAGTTATTTCAATATATCTTACACTATCATGTTTGAACTACGGCTTGGTTCTAGTTGACTCTACTTCAAAATGTATCTTTGTTGTTTCCTTTGAAGACTTCCCACAAAATATCAAATAGGTTAAGTAGATTATTGTTTTCTCAACTTGAGTTAAGGAAAAGATTGTTAGAGTTTATTCAAGTCTTGAGTAAAATTCAAGTTAACTTAATTTGAATTGAACTATGTTTACTTATATTAGTTAGGATTAACCCTAGGTTTGCAACTAGCAGGTATATATGGAACCTCAAGACACATCTCGACTCAAACAAGTGTAAGTTTCTTTTTGTAAAAGATTTGTTTATACCGTGGACTTAGATTGAAAATGTGGATTTCCGTATTTGCTAGTTGTTGGTTTTCTTCCTTGTGGATATATTTATTCTTGCACAATACTCCATAACCTACATAATTACTTTGCAAAAATGTTTAGAAAGATACCTAACACACTTCATTTATAAACTAAAGTTAACTAGAACTAAATTATAGTCAAATAATGTCTTGTAAATTCTCCAAATGAATAATTTTGGTCAACGCATGAATTGAATTGGATCTATTGTTAATCTTGATTAGCTCAATACTTTTTTTGAGATGCTACATATCTGATAAAAATAATATGTGATGTCAATGTGTTTCACTTAACTATACATCATTTGATTTGCAACAAGACGTTACGCATTTGACTATCACAATAATATCACAATCTCCTACTTCAATCTCATCTTAGTATAAAGTTTATTTATCCTAATAGTTCTTTTTCTTCTTCTATTGCCGCTACATTTTCAACTTACGTTGTGGACTAAGCTCAAAACTATTGCGAAGTAAATTTCCAACTAATATGTTGAAGTTAACTCCAACTAAGTAGTAACCTCGGGTGTTAACTATTTATAGCTAGGACGTTCGCTTGGACTAAGGATAAAAACATCGGCTTACGCCATGTACAGAGAGTTTTTTTTTACAAGACGTGGAGTAAAGGTGCTTGAGTTCTGGTGGACGTAGCTCTCCTCCCTGAAAGTGAACCACGTTATATCTGTCTCTCATGAGTGTTTAATGTTTTCTTGGTGGTACCGTAACAAATGGTATAAGAGTCGGTTTCGGTTTGGACTTTGGGTTTGTGTTTTATGATAGTGATTTCAGGTTTTTTTTTTCATTTTGGAAACTGAATGTTTTCAGGTTTTTTGATTCGAAGTATGAGTCATAGAAATTTGGTGGAGCTCCAGAGTGTTCAAGGTGACGAAGTTTGAGGTTGAATTTTTGAGTTTTTAAGGCGACGAGAAAAATATGACAGTTAAGAGAAACTTGATTGTCTTTTCTTCCATTCAAAGTTTGAAGTTTAAACAGAATTTTCACTCGAGGTAGTGACAAGAATTTGATGGCGACTTGCTAAGGTGATAGTTTGGTTCAAGGGATAGACTCCACCGGTTTTCTTTTTTCCAAAGTCTTCTCGGAAGAAAGTTTCTACTTTCTAGTCTTTTACTTCTGGTTCGAGGTTTACGGTGTTTAGAATCGACGAGGGAGAAAGTTGAGTTCGAGGACAATTCCAGTGAAGAACGACTGTGATGTTGCTTCTTGTAGTAGGTTCCGAAGGGGAAGAGTAGATTGCTTGAGAATTTTTCCTGTAAGATCAATTCGCAAGAGCAACGATCATTTCTCCAAGGGGAAGAAGTTCACTTCCACAAAAATGAAACAAAGTTTCAACCTCAAAAAAGGAAACGTTGGAGTGAATTTGATGTTGAGAGCAGCGGAGCTGAGAGAGCCGCCGCCCCGACTGCAAGTGCAATTTTGTTTATGAGGCTTTTCTGAGAGAAAACATGAGTAGAGTTTCGGGAGCGCAGGGTTTTGGGAGTAGATGTTGTATTCTCTTTAGGTGGAATTACTTCGAGATACTTTTCCTTGGGAGTGGAAGCCTTCTCAGTTACTGGAAGAGGAATCTCTTTGGTAGAAATTGCCGCATGTTTCTTTTGTGGAAGAGAAGTTGTGTCCTCTGCATGTTAAGGACTGGAGTATATTGTGGGCATTTCATCGAACGAAATAATCCATACTTCATCTCCTCAGCAGGCAAGTAAAGAGAACAAGCCACATCTGAACATTGAGATGCAGTCTATAGAGAAGCATTGACCGAATGTTTCTGTCACAATCAACAATTCGAAAGGGAGAGAATAAAACCTCAAGCAAGTGCGCAAGAATAGCTTCTCGCATATGAAAAAATAAAACTTGATCGCAAACACGTACGGTTCACAGGCAGCATATCGGACTGGGCGAGGAGACGTGCCGACGAACAAGTTATGTGCCTGATGCGCGACACTTTGCAATAGAGTCGGAACTCCTCAAGGCAGGAAAGACAAACATGCCGTATCCAGAAACCGGAAGATTTCCGCCCCTCTCCCCGTGGTTTAGGTTCAGGCAATTCGGTTTTCCCACTTGTGTAGGTCGCGCGGCGGCAGGCTAAAGGGTCGTAGCCCGAGCGGCGGGCCACCTTGCGTGCATGGCGGACGGAGGGCAGTCGCGGGCCCCTACGCGGTTAGGGGGTTACAGGTCGTAGCAGCGGGCCGCCCCGCGCACAAGTTTGCATCGGAAGTCGGAGTCCCCGCTTGCCCGCGAAATTAGGGCATGGGCTGCAGCAAGGCAAGCAAGGGCAAGACGACGACACCCATCCCGCGCAGAAGTACAACAGTGCCCACTGCGCGGTTAGGGTGTCCGCCCCCCCACTCCGCGAGGTTAGGGCAAGGCTGCTGGAAGTCATGCAATGGCAAGACAACGATTGCAAGGAAAACCTCTTCCCATCGCACGCGGGAGATCAATACTAGAGCTATAGTATCAAGCGGTAGGGTGTCTTTGGCGTGGTGGAATTGATGCGGCAAGACCAACCTAGCTCGCCAAGTCAACCGTGATAGACTTGGAGAATTGCGTAGGCTTGGGCAACCGCGGTCGGTGGGGGTAACAGTGGTTGGGATGGAGAATCACGTTAGACCAAATGTGGTTTGTGAAACCAGGTGTTACACATGTGTACTAAGTCGTAGAAGTGGTCAAGTGATTAAGGATGATTAGCGAAGACATAGCTAAGTCTAGCTAGTTATGACTAAACTAGTTAGTTACACTAAATTTATATAGTCATGACTAAGTTTAGCTATAATGTCTATAGTTTGCGAAATAATTAGCAGAGTTCTAGAAGAGTGGAGTGAGCACTTCTATTTTGTTTTTTACAAAGGTCTAGATTCCAATGGATTAGATATTTGACTATAAATTTGGATTTGATTGGTTCGACTAAATGTATGAAAGATGATTGCTCAACTAAGTCCAGTGTTGAGTAAGCGGCCAAGAAGCTTCTAGAAGTTTTAAAGCTTCCAATGGCATGTCACCACCTCAACCTCGGATTCCGAAAACTTCTAGAAGCTTTAGGTAAGCCAATGGCATGTTGCCACGTATAGTGGGTTAGTCAAACTTAC